AAGAGTTAACCATTTGTATTCAACATTTTGGTGAGAAGGAATTTTTCTGTGGTGCCTGAATGAGGTTAGATGTGACTCTGGTGAATTAACACCATTCCTGAGGACTTGGCTCAGGAAATCATGATCTTTTCTGCCATGACAAGGGAGCAATATTTTCAGCATCTACTTAATTAAAAGCTAGAACTGGATACCATTTCCCTTTCAGTCACCATTTCTTTATTTAAGTGATTTGTTGTCCCTCTATGGCAAATGAGCATAACAATAGATGTGTCCCAGTGGATTTTTAGGCAGGATTTTTCTTCCCTGCTTAAACGCTGGGTTAGACTTCTGTGTCTAAAATACTTGTCTGGTCCCCTTTACGTTTCTGTGATTCTTATCCACGTCCTCTCTATATCCTGTTTGTGCCAGCTCCAGTCTTATTTTCAAATTTTAGTGAATAAAATCTTAGATTTTTTTTGTTGTTTTTAAAAAAAGTTGTGTGTGTGTATGTGTGTGTGTGTGTGTGTACACATCACTACTCTGGCCTAAAAATTACAGTTGTGACTCCCACTTTATTCCAAGTTCCTCAGTGGTGGCGTGTCTCGTCCTTCCGACCAGCTTGCTTTCTCTCTTGACCTGCTCTCCTTCCATCTTGGAGTCTGAAACTCAGTCTTACTTGTTGTGATTGGGTCTCAGAAATCACCTGTTCTTTCCTCCTCCTTCTGGATTTCCTGACCCCATTATTCTCTTGGCGTAGCTGTCCTCGTAAGTGTGGTTTTCTTTTTTTGCCCTGAGTCTTCCCTGCCACATGCTCCTGGCAGCCTAGAGGGGCCGTGGGGCCTCTCTAGTGACCGTCAGAAGAAAGTGAGCGTTGTTGAAGTACTTTCGCTGCAGCTAAGGCAGAAGCTGCTGAGATCTACTTTAGAGTTATTCCCGCTTTTATATTTCTCCCACTCTCCTCTCTGGCCCCTTGGGAAATCAGCTGATTCTGTGTGGGAGCCCAGTGTAATGGGGGGAGGGTGCAAACAGGAGGGGAAGTGTGGAGACTGGGGACAAAGTAGACAAAAAGACTGTGGTTTGAGGCCACGAGGAATACTCTGCTCTGGCTGAAGCAGGGCCAAGAAGTAGGCAGAAGGCACGGTATCTTTTGTCCTCCTGGGTTTTAAGCACCTGCAGCGGGAGGACGAACTCCGGCTTGTACAAGGCCGACAGCCGAAGAGAAAAAACCTCTGTTCCTTTGTCATCTTGATATGGAGGGTTCAGCGGAGGAGAATAAAGAGATGAGATATTACATGCTTCAAAGGTAAGTGTTAGAGGGCCCTGTCTAGGCAGTATGTGCCTTCAGAAAGCAGTAAAGGTGTTGACAGCTAAGCCCTGGAATTTATGGGCAATCTGATTTAATGACTTTTTTTTGTGGGTCTGTAGGAAACTCTTTTTTTTTTTCTTAAGAAAATGAATTAAAAATCTCATGTGTACTCCTGAATTCCTGAAGCTTTACTTTACACTCAGAATTTGAACCGAAGATACCCAAGACCATGTGTGACATTGTAGCTACGTTGAAAACAAGCACCCTTGTGCAGACCTTACTGCGAGCTGCTCTCTGGTTAAGGGATCTCAGTCTGTGCCAAGTGTGGTCACTGGGCTTGGCTGGACTTTCAAGCGTGAAGTCGTTTCATCTATTTTGAAGGGAAATAGCGACCCTGGATAGTAGGTAGCATCCCGTCAAAGGTAGTTTTGCAGAGAACTTTTTAGACTGTGTCTCTGGGGCCAGGAAAGGTGCCCTCTGCTGTTGTCCTGGCGTCGTGTGAGAGTGGGCAGCCAGCCTGGAGTCGTTGAGGGTGGCAGGGTGTCCTGCCTTGAATCTTTCTTCTTCCTGCAGTTAGAGGAGGAGGTGAATCAGGCCTGCTTGGCCTTCTTCAGACTTCTCTTTTTTATTTATTTATTTGACCACATTGGGTCTTAGTAGCAGCACATGGGATCTCCGTTTAGAGCACGGTCTCTCTAGTTGCAGTGTGAGGGTTCAGTAGTTGCAGCCACGTCAGCAGTTGCGACTCGCAGACTCTCTAGTTGTGGCTCGAGGGCTCTGGAGGGCCAGGGCTCACTGGTTGCAGTGCGCAGGCTTAGATGCTCTGTGGCATGTGGTATCTTAGCTCCTCAGCCAGGCACTGGACCTGCATCCAGTGCCTTGGAAGGTGCGTTCTTAACCACTGGGCCACCATGGAAGTCCCTTCTTTCAGACCTCTTGCAGGTCTGTCCCTCTCCAGTAGAGGGTCGACATGAAAGGCCTGAATGATTTGCTTGATGGCAGTCATTAAATGTCTCTCTAGTATTTCATGTGTGTGTTGTGTACTTGTTTTATTTTTGCATTCTGGAGTTTTTATTTAGAAAAAAATTACCTGAAAATTGAAGAGACCTTGGCAAATATAGAAACCAATGAAAAACACCAATTTGGCAAAGGTTGTCTTTAATCATCCTTTTTTCGTTTTTACTTGGCTTATTCCACCTGTTGCAGGATGAAGCAAGCATTGTTTTAATTGGAGGCTAATTACTTTATAATATTGTATTGGTTTTGCCATACATTGACATGAATCAGCCATGGTGTACATGTGTCCCCCATCCTGAGCCCCCCTCTCACCTCCCTCCCCATCCCATCCCTCAGGGTCATCCCAGTGCACCAGCCCGGAGCACCCTGTGTCTTGCATCGAACCTGGACTGGCAATCTCTTTCACATATGATAGTATACATGTTTCAATGCTATTCTCTCAAAGCATCCCACCCTCGCCTTCTCCCACAGAGTCCAAAAGACTGTTCTTTACATCTGTGTCTCTTTTGCTGTCTCGCATATAGGGCCATCATTGCCATCTTTGTAAATTCCATATATATGTGTTAGTATACTGTATTGGTGTTTTTCTTTCTGACTTACTTCACTCTGTATAATAGGCTCCAGTTTCATCCACCTCATTAGAACTGATTCAAATGCATTCTCTTTAATGGCTGAGTAATATTCCATTGTGTATATGTACCACAGCTTTCTTATCCATTCATCTGCCGATGGACATTTAGGTTGCTTCCATGTCCTGGCTATTGTAAACAGTACTGTGATGAACACTGGGGTACATGTGTCTCTTTCAATTCTGGTTTCCTCGGTCACACATATATTTACATATATATTTATTACACACATCCATACACACACACAGAGTTTTATTCTGTTTTTCTGTGGTTAAGTACAGTAGGCCATCTGTCCATTTTTTTCAAGGGGACGTTCTTCCTGGAGCAGTCTGTCCTCCAGTTTTAACAGTCAGCTTAAGAGAATTCCCTTCTCTTTTCTTCTGTGCTATTTCTTGCATTCTTTGTCTCCCTTTTTCTTGGCTTACTTTATCTTTTTGGAAGACAACATTCTATAAAAGCTTCCTGAGAAAAGGTAGGTGAGAAGTAAAGATTTTGAGTTCTTCCATATCTTTCCACTTTATCAGCTTGTTTTTAGCATGGTGCCTAACTTCTGATTATGGCTATATGAAGGATCCCATCATTAAAAGTAATATATATTTCTGGTTTTTTTTCCATTCTTTGATTATAAGTGACCCTCAGAACATTCCTTTGCTCTCTAAACTATTGATTAGACCATATGATAGGTCCCTTCACCACCTTAATTTTATCAATAAACACTTTGCTTCCCTTATTGTCTTATTCTTAGACAGTTCTTTATCCTAGGCTTATACCTCCTCCGTCTTTTTCTCCCTAAGAAACTGAAAGCTGATCTCTAGGGACTGTGTGTCTGTGTCTGTGTGTATGTATGTTTGCAACTCCTTTCTTCTTGTTTGTTTATTTTTGACTGAGCTGGGTCATGTTGCTGCATGCAGATTTTCTCTAGTTGCGGCAAGCGGGGGCTGTTCTGGTTTCTCATCCCAGTGGCTTCTCTTGTTGCAGAGCACAGACTCTAGAGTGTGCAGGCTCAGTAGTTACCACTTGTAGCTTAGTGTTACAAGTGTTACTAAGTTGCCTTAGTTGCCTCGTGTCATGTGGGGTCTTTGTTCCCTGACCAGGGGTCTGACCTGTATCTCCTGCTTTGGCAGGCGGATTCTTAACCCACTGGACCACCTGGGAAGTCCCAATACCATGCTTTTTTTTTTTTTTTTTGTACCATGCATATTTTATCAAAGAAAAAGTGAAGCTTAGCAAGGTTATTTGGTGAAGATCTGAAATTTAAATGCAGGCCTACACTGTTTCCACTGCTATATAATTTAAAGCACCATTAATTGTTAGAGGCACCATTATTGTATGTACCATGAGAAAAAGAAATTCTGCCAGTTAAATAAAGCACACCATCAGTTGTAAGATACATAGAAATTTCAGAGATTTTAAAAAGCTAAAAAAAAAGTGTGTTATCTTAAGATCCATGAAATTTGTTTTTTTATGCTGCATCATAAATAAATTGTTTTTGGAGTTGTTGATTTCAAAACATCTATGGAATATCCAACTAAAACACTTGAAAGTGAAGTCTGTCAGTCCTGTCCAACTTGTAGCGACCCCATGGACTGCAGCCTAACAGGCTCCTCCATCAATGGGATTGTCCAAGCAAAAGTCCTGGAGATGGGAAGCTAGAGATAACAGAGGTGAAGGTCCTCTGTGTGTCAGAATCATAATGCAGAAGCAGGCTGGCTAACTGTTTATTTTTTAGTTTTAACAGTCTCTCTGAGTTTATTAATATTATTTATGCCATCTCTTTTAGTCTATTCTTTGCCTATCTCTCTGTGATGGCGTCTGTTGGTAAACCTTAATATTGCCTTTTATTATTCAGGAGCACTTTTTACCCTCCCCCTTAAATTTCCGAAAGCAATGGTCATTTTCTTTTTCTCTCTTCTGTTTACAAACCGTGTGGTCTGCCAGCATGTAGTTTCCACAAGGGTGCAATAGGAAGTACACTTTTAAGTCTGGGTAGTGAAAAGCAGGTCTCCAGGGGAGATAGATGATGTGAAGAAATCTCATCTATAGACTTTGGTGATTTCCCTGTTTTACAGATCCAGCATGTCTGGCTTGCACCTAGTCAAGCAAGGTCGAGACCGGAAGAAAATGGACTCACAGCGAGATTTCACTGTGGCCTCTCCAGCGGAATTTGTTACTCGTTTTGGTGGGAATAAAGTGATTGAGAAGGTAAGTTACAACCTGCTCAGTTATTTTTTCAAAAGCCCATGAGATTTAATGCCTCGATTTGTCGTCTGCTGCTGCTGTTGCTAAGTCACTTCAGTCATGTCTGACTCTGTGCAGCCCCATAGATGGCAGCCCACCAGGTTCCCCCATCCCTGGGATTCTCCAGGCAAGTACACTGGAGTGGGTTGCCATTTCCTTCTTCAATGCATGAAAGTGAAAAGTGAAAGTGAAGTCGCTCAGTCATGTTTGATTCTTAGCGACCCCATGGACTGCAGCCCACCAGGCTCCTTTGCCCATGGGATTTTCCAGGCAAGAGTACTTGAGTGGGTTGCCATCGCCTTCTCCATGATTTGTAGTCTAGATTTGCTTAAAACTGACATGTGGATTGAATTTCTGAGACTGTGTAGAATTATCCTTTCTGCCTCCCTAGCTTTCTTAAATAATTAAATGATTAAATAACTTCACTGTTTTCTGTAATATGTATTTACCACTGATAATTTAATCATAACTAAGTAAGAAGGTGAAGCGATGCCCATAAGTCGCTTTTAGAAAGACTTCGAGGTTTTCCTAGAGTTGGGCTACACTGATCTAAGAGGGCATGAGAAGTTGATTAGCTTGTGGGGTGGTGATGAGATCAGTGTCATCGTATTGGGATTTATAGCTAAGGGAGTGGAGAGAGTTTCAGAACAGAAGGCTTAAACAAGTTTGATACACTGTAACATGGATCCCAGCAGAAATTTGAGATATTTAGAGGGTATATACCACATGAAATACTTAAAGTGATTATAAGTATTTTGAAAAGTGAGCAAATCTGAGACACTTTTGTTCACATCATGTCAGAGCTGAGAGATTGACTTGGTTGCAGTAGCTTACGGAGATTAAAAGTTTAAAGGGTACAGACCTGTATTCCCAATCCTGAAATTATTGCTTTAGCGGCGTACTCCCGTTAGTCTTCCAATGAGGATAGATTACGTGTCTCCTCACCTCTTATCCTGAGGGTCATGATTGCATTCGAGGAGGTGAAAGATTTGTTTAACAGAGAAGTCTCAGGGTCACTGATCCTTTACCCTTTTTCTTGTTTTTTTTTTTTTTCATTTATTTTTATTAGTTGGAGGCTAATTACTTTACATCATTGCAGTGGTTTTTGTCATACATTGAAATGAATTAGCCATGGATTTACATGTATTCCCCATCCCGGTCCCCCCTCCCACCTCCCTCTCCACCCGATCCCTCTGGGTCTTCCCAGTGCACCAGGCCCGAGCACTTGTCTCATGCACCCAATCTGGGCTGGTGATCTGTTTCACCCTAGATAATATACATGTTTCGATGCTGTTCTCTTGAAACATCCCACCCTCGCCTTCTCCCAGAGTACCCTTTTTCTTGTGACTATTCTTTCCGGGGCAATTTCTCTACAGTTCTAAGGCATTTGGAGTCAGCATTTTGGAGAGAGGTGTAGGGGTTCTTATACATGTTCAGGGCAGTGTGCCTTATTTCATTTCAACAGAGAATAGTGCATGACACTACACTGTTAAAAACTTCGCCCAGCTTTGTTTGATATCCATCTTCCCCCTAAAGTTTGTTTCTTCTCTTCGCTAATAATAGGAATGGTAGAATAATTCACAGACTCACAAGATTTTTTTTTTAAGTAGTCTTCTTTATTTTTTCAAACTTTTTGTTTTGTGTTGGGGTGTAGCCAGTTAACCGTGTTCTGACAGTTTCAGGTGAACAGGGAAGGGAGTCAGCCATGCTTATACACGTATCCATTCTCCCTCAAGCTCCCCTCCCTTCCAGGCTGCCGCAGAACATTGAGCAGAGGCCCCTGGGCTGTGCGGCAGGTCCTTGTTGATTGTCCATTTAAAATACGGCAGTGTGTCCATGTCCATCCCAAATTCCCCAACTATCTCTTCCCCCCCTAGCAACCATAAGCTTGTTCTCTAAGTGTGTGAGTCTCTTTCAACTTAGAAGATTTGAGTAACTGATTTTTCCCTTCAGGAAATGAACTAAGAAAGGAGTAAGTTTTAGCTGGCACATACTTTGGACTTTCCAGGTGACTCAGTGGTAAAGAATCCACTGCAGTGCAGGAGAGACAGGTTTGATCCCTGGATCAGGATGATCACCTGGAGAAGCAAATGGCAACTCACCCCAATATTTCTTGCCTGGGACATGGAGGCTTGTGGGCTACAGTCCATGGGGTTGTAAGAGTCGTATACAACTTAGCAACTAAACAACAACAACAGCATTGAAGTATTTGCTTTGCTAACATCTTAAAATATCCCTTGACCATGCAGGAGTTGGTTCTTAATTGCCTAGACCAGCAATACAGATTCCTAATTGAAACTCTGGCTTTTCAGAGAAAGATTTACAAAAATATTTTTCTTGTGTTTTCCTCCATCTTTGCCTGCCTTTTCTACTTTTCTTTGCAATTCCCATCCCCCAACTCTGCCAGGTTCTCATTGCCAACAATGGCATTGCAGCTGTGAAATGCATGAGGTCCATCCGCCGGTGGTCTTATGAGATGTTTCGAAATGAACGTGCAATCCGATTTGTTGTCATGGTCACACCTGAAGACCTGAAAGCCAATGCAGGTAAGTTATTAAACATTAAGAAAGCATCATCCTCAAACGTAAAACAATGAATGGCACAACCTTTAACGAAGAGGATGTTAACTTGGGGGATTCCCAAACCCAAGAACTTGTCTTTTAAAAAGTATCAATAATAGGCACAGACCAGGATTGTACTCTATATAGCCTCAACATAAACTCTTCTTTTTAAGTAAAAATAGGTGTTAATTTAACCCAAGTGTTGATTTGGGTTTTCAGTGTTATTTACTAGGTCACATTCTTATAGCATGTTTAAGTAGAAAGGCTTGGAAGGAAGTGCCATTTCCCTTATGAACTACATTGAATTTTAGAGAATTTTAGTATTAAGATTCTTTTTCCCCCTCCTCCTGGGTATAGAGACCTCTTAGGACCCAAGTAAGTTTTACTCTTTAGGTTCTTCTGCATATTCTCTCTGCTTAGATGACCCTCCATCTGAGAGTGGTAGGTTATTGTATGCTGTTGGTAGAGTTGAAAGATTGTAGCTAGTACTTCTGCTTCATACTTTAAAAAAAAATAATTTCATTTATGTATTTATTTTTGGCTGCAGTGGGTCGTTTCATTGCTGCATGGGCTTTTCTTTAGTTGGGGCAAGCTGGGGCCACTCTGGAGCTGTGGTGTGTGGGCTTCTCATTGCAATGGCTTCTCTTGCTGTACAGCGTGGGCTCTAGGGTGTGTAGGCTCCCTAGCTGTAGTTCTCGGTCTCTAGAGTACACAGATTTAGTGGCGCATGGACTTAGTCACTCTGTGTCATGTGGTATCTTCGTGAACCAGGCATCAAACCTGTGTCTTTAAAGAGTTGTCTTTTAAAACTCATTTTGGTCTTTATATGTACTCTCTGTATTGAGACAATGATATTAAGACTATTCCTAAGCAGTAAGGGTTATTATATTATCTTTAGAAAAAGAGAAGGCACCAGTTGATTGGAAAGCAGATGTTATTCATTCATTTAGATTGATCCTTCAGCATCTTTGAGCTGCAGTCTTGTATCTGTACAAGGAAAGTCATGTCTGTTTCACTGGCTAGTTGTAAAGAAGAAATTGTCTATAATAAATGTAAGCTACCTTGCATGATTTCTTTTTCCTTATTTCTATTTGGTGCTCCTATTAATTCATCTATTCATTCACTCAGTGAGCATGGAGACCCACATTTTAATAAGCTGTGATCTTGCTCTAGGAAATGAATAATTTCAATACAATGAGGTAAGTGCTGTAATAGGAATATGTACAGGGTGCTATGAGAACACAGAGATGAGACATCTTAACTCTGGTCCTGGCTCTTGGGTTAAGAGTTAAGAGGAGTTAACAGAGGTAAGAGAGCTTTCTGGAGGTACTTATGTCTCCCCGAGAATGAGTAAGAGTTAGTGAAGCAGTTGGGGGGAAGACAAGGGTGTTACAGGCAGAAAGAACATATATGCAAATATTTGAAGGTGTGACACAGGGGTTATCTGGAAACTGCAGATGACTTGTTAGAGTACAAGACATGATCTAGTATTTGTCAAGGATAGTCTTGTTTTTTATTCTTAAAAGCATGAACTTTGTCTTTTTAGCTATGTGTGTATGTGTCTCTGTGTCTGCAATGTATATTGGACATTAAAGATTTGCATTTTAATTGAAATGGTTGTTTTTCACAATTCAAATGTGGAAGAGCATAATGAACTCCTTCCCATCTATCTGTTACCCAAAATCAACTTCTTTCAGCTATATTTAAACCTCCTCTCTCCTCCAAGCATAATTTCTAAAGCAAATATTTATTGCATCTGTAAATGCTTCAATGTGTATCTTATCTAAAATTTAGATAGCTTTAACATATATGTGTAAATAATTGGGTGATTCAGGTAGCAACTTGAAAGATCTGTTTGTGGCAGGTAATACTGGAGAATGTGATAACTGGCAAGATTTTAAACTCTCAGTTTGGCTTCATGTGATATGTGGGTTTTAATTCTTGAATCTTGGCTGAACTCCTTACACTTAACCTGTTGGCCTCAAAAATATTGGGCAATTGCACCTCATTCCTATAGTAATTGGTTACATACTCTTATTTGGAACAAGCATGATGAGCACCTCTCCACTCAGCTCCGTTCATACAATCACAGATAACTGTGCCAAAAACCAACAGCAGAAGAAATATGAAGAGGCCATCCCAGCATTAAGAGATATTCCTATTAGTTGAAGTAAACCAAATGTTCTCTGTTGCAACCAAACCATTTTCCACTGAAAACTGAATTGTATGTAAACAACTAATGTCAAACATCCACTATAAATTTTTGACATAAAATTTCGACCATCATAATTTTAATATCTAGTACTGAAATGTAAAATAATAATGTAAGTTGAACTTCTCTTAGATTAAGTTCTATTAATATTTTAAATATTATCAAATAGTAGTTACTAGTGGACGGAATAAATAAAATACTGGATTACCATATGGTAAGTATCTCTCCAAAAAAAAGTAGCAGTGGACATTTATTATCTCACAGTTTCTAAAGCTGGGTCTGTGACTTGAGGTTGTCACTAGGCTGGCGTCAGTATTCGCGTGGGGCTGCCGTCTCATCTGAGGCTCAGCTTGGAATGGATCTGCGTTCACGCTAACGTGGTTGGTTGTTGGCAGCACTCAGTTTTCTGTGGGCTGTCGGACTGAGGGCCTCAATGTGTCGCTGGTTGTTGCCTAGAGACTGCTCTTGGCTCCTTGCCATGTGGGCCATCCCCAAAGGACTTTTTGCTTCCTCCAAGTCAGCAAGGAAAAGTCTCCCAGTGAGATGGGCTCCATTCTTTTTCAAAGTATTGTATTCATTTATTTCTCTCTTTGGCCGTGCTGGGTCTTCGTTGCTGTGTAGCCTTTTCTCTAGTTGTGTGATCAGGGGCTACTCGCTCCTGCGGTGCACAGTCTTCTCACTGTGTGGCTCCCATTGCAGGGCACAGGCTCTGGAGCTCGTGGGCCTCAGTAGTTGCAATTCCCAGGCTTTAGAGCACAAGCTTAATTCGAGGCACACAGGCTTAGTTGCTCTGCAGCTTGTGGGATCTTTTCAAGGGACACGGGTTCCTTCCCTGGTCTGGGATGATCCCGTGTGCCGTGGAGCAGCTAAGCCCGTGCTCTGCAGCTGCTGAGCCAGGGAGCCTCAGCTACTGAAGCCCGCACGCCTGGAACCTTCGCTCTGCAGCGAAAGAAGCCACCTCAGTGAGAAGCCTACACACTGCAGTGAAGAGTCACCCCGGTGCCTGTGACTGCGGAAAGCCCACGGGCAGCAATAGAGCCCTATCACAGCAACCAACCACCCCCCAAAAAAATCTGTTTAAAAAATAGGGTGGAGATGGACCTTGAGCAAATTATTTAACTGCTCCAAGACATAAGTCCCTTTAAACTGGATGCTCATAATACCTATTATAGAAAGGATCATGGAGTGTTAAATGAAGTAATGTATATAAAGAGCTTAATACAGTCTTTACATTGTAGCTGCTCTGCCACAATTACTGCCAGAAAGGAAGAAACATTAGGTGACAGATTTGAAAGGGGATACTGTGCCCCCCTAAAAAAAATAAGGAAGGAAAGAAGTTAGCTTTTTAAGTATCTTTCATATATGTAGTATCCTCAACATTTCAGGTAAACAAATGTTTTTCAAGCACTTGACAGACTCCTATAACTCACCTTTCCTGTTTAGCAAGTCTGCAAACCCTCCAGTCTCTCCTCGGTTTCCTCGTTTTGTCCCGGCTTTATACCAGGAAAGGGGCCTTCTCAGAATATTGTGCAAGTTAAAGATGAAAGGTGTCATAGAACTTTTTCTCCGAGTAGAATAATGGGCCTCTCAGTGACATATTGTCCTTAATATAGAGGTCATGATGACTCTTCAAAAAGCTCACACAGTGAAATGTTTGAGAACTGCTGCTTAGTGTCAGAGGTTCCTCACTATGAGATTATCACATTTTAGTGCCTGTGACTTAACAAAGAGCCTCCAAATGAATGGCTCTGAAAGTTACCCACGAATGTAGTTTGTCCCATGATTACATATGATGGTACCTGTCTTTTGTGTAGTTTTTTCTCTGCTGTTACATTTCTGAAAATAAATTTAATTATTGTTAATGTGCTTGTGTTTCCAGAATACATCAAGATGGCAGATCACTATGTGCCTGTGCCAGGAGGCCCCAACAACAACAACTATGCAAATGTGGAGTTAATTCTTGACATTGCTAAAAGGATCCCAGTACAAGTAAGACATGCCAGCATCTCCTTGAAAACCAAATTCAGCCTTTAAAAAAAATTTTTTTTTTATTGGAGTATGTTTGATTTAAAATGTTATGTTTCTGTACAGCAAAGTGAATCAGTTATCCATAGACATATATCCACTATTATTTTTATGTTTTGGAGAATAAAACATATTCTCAGTTTTATGTCAGTTGCTTCATTTGCAAATATTTTCTCCCATTCTGAAAATTGTCCTTCACCTTGCTTATGGTTTCCTTTGCTGTGCAGAAGCTTTTACATTTATTATGTCCCATTTGTTAATTTTTGTTTCTATTTTCATTATCCTAGGAGGTGGATCAAAAAAGATCCTGCTGCGATTTATGTCAAAGAGTGTTGTATGTTTTTCTCTAAGAGTTTTATAGTGTCTGGCCTTTTGTTCAGGTCTTCCACTGTTTTTTAGATTCTTTCCCCATATAGGTTATTATAGATTATTGAGAAGCGTTCCCTGTGCCAAATTCAACCATTTTACAATTAGGCACAAGGGGATAGCCAGTGAAGAAATTTTAATTTTATATAAAGCACCTTTTCTGAACCTTGATAAGAGCCTTTATATGGGATATACAGAGAGGGAAAAGAAAGATGAGAAGAGTGGAATGAGTCACCATAAAGTAAACATAATCTAAACAAGAGGTTTGTAAGGGTCTTTCAGAGATTATTCTGTCCATTTCACCTCCAGACCTCCCAGTAAGTGAAGGTTACCTATTTCCAATGAAATACTCTTAGTCCAGAATACGGTAGTGTAGAAGGAGGTTTTTTATTCTCTATCACATTGTTATAGAGAGTTTAGGGTAAGTGTCCTAAAGCCCAAAGAGGAAAAAAACTTGAGATTTGCATGGCAGTATAACCACTAGATGTAAAGGTGGAGTTGGGTGGCCAAAATAATGCAGTCTACAAAAGAAAACCAGCATTTCTAGAAGAGGCTCTGTAGTGTAGTTGAAAGGCTATGAACTGACTTTGCTGAAGATTAACAGTACCAGCTGGATCTTAACATCAGTTTCAACTTGTTTTTGCTATCTTCAGAGGTTTTACCACAGTCGACTGCTTATTGTTGTTCTGTAAAAAGTTGGCCAAGAATCAGGCATTAAAAACTGAATTAAGCATTAGGCTGCTGTGGCACTATTGTACCTCATGAAGTACAGCCAGTCTTGGTTAGAAAGGAATACAGTTGAATCGTGTTCTTTTTACTATGAATTTTAAGAATGAATCATATTGTGTTCCCTTGTAGGCAGTTTGGGCCGGCTGGGGTCATGCTTCTGAGAATCCCAAGCTCCCAGAACTTCTTTTGAAAAATGGCATTGCCTTCATGGGTAAGCCTTTCTGACGTACTGTTCCTGTTTTTCTGTTTCTCTCTGTCATTTTGGTCCACATTTCCCCTCTCTATTTTGCTTTTCTTCTGTTTAACACGTACTAGGCTTTTATTTTTCATCACATACTGGGCTTTTATTTTTCATCAATCCGTAACTCTGAGAGTAACCTTCTTCTTCATTTTCTTTTTCTCCTACTATTATCACTTCTTACATTTTGTATCTTGATTGTGTTTTCTGTCCCTGGGTTCTTTTCTATGAGATATGGGGGAGGTTCTGCTATCCAGAACACCGGCCTTTAAAAACTTTGTCATTAACCTTAAGAAAACATGTGGAGAAAGGACCTATTTTTATGTAGAAAAGATGATTGAATAAGGGCAGTGTGCCCTTAAATATGAATCAATACCTTCACATTTAAGCATATAGGTTATATTCCTGTAAGTGAGGGTTATTTCTTCTGACTTCTCTGCTCTCCTATAGAGAGAGAAAAATCAAGGTTATATGGCGGTAAGTGTTTCTGTCTTTGTCTCAATGATGATTATGCTTTGTAAAACCTATTAATGATAAATCTTCCTTTTGGGTTTCCCTAAGTCCAAGGAGAGTATACCAATTTAGACTTGAACCCCAAAACTTTATTGTCCTTATTTCAGGATAATCATTAAAAAAAGAGAAGACTTTGTTAATCTGGTAGAGTTGGATCATGAAGGATGATTTGTCAGTGATTTAATTCAGCATATATTTACATATATTGAATTCTCTCTGTGTGTGAAAATTTGCTACATTAGGTTCTGTAAAGGATACAAAGATGAGCCAAAACATAGCAGTCCCCGTAGTCAAGTTTCTGATATGGATGATATGCGATGTGGCGATACAAGACAAATACAAAAACAATTATATGAAAGACAAAATACTTGGGAAAGAAATGAGGCCAAAATGTTACAGTTGGGATTCTTTTCTTGTTTTGTTTTTAGGTCCTCCAAGCCAAGCCATGTGGGCTTTGGGGGATAAGATTGCATCTTCCATAGTGGCTCAAACTGCTGGTATCCCAACTCTTCCATGGAGTGGCAGTGGTAAGAAATTTTATTTCTTGTTTGTATCTTAAAGTGCAGAAAAGCTCAGTAGGGTATTTGGGACTGTGGCTGGGGGCTTAAGCCTGCTTTAAAATGTATTAAATATTTGACAAGAAATAGAATTCAAGTTGATTGATTGGTAGCTTGTATCTTCCTGGCTTAATTGCTGTATCTGTGATTCTGTCATGTCTTAAGCATATGCGTGTTGTCAGACCCGAGAGCCTCTTCCATCTTTGTCAAGGAGAGTGCTAACCTTCGCTCCTTTCATATAACATTCTATCATGTCTTAAGAATGTAAATTTTATACTAGGTACAGAGATGCTAAACGGTAATGTAAATGATCTTGGGACTTAATTTGGAAAAACTCTGAGAAAACTCATCTGGTTCTGTGGATTCAGACCTATGCTAGGATAGATCTTCCTAGGCTAGGATCTTCCTCAGAGATGGTCTTCTTAGGTGGAATAGGCCTTTGAACCTGCCTGGGAGATGACTGAAATCACTAAGAAAAAGCCAAAACCCACTTACTCAGATATCTGCCTGCCAGTATTTTCTTTCTTTCTTTTTGTTTATTCAGTCTTTATATTTTGAAAATTTTTATATTGGCATATAGTTGATTAACAATGTTGTGTTAGTTTCAGGTGTACAACAAAGTGATTCAGTTATATGGATCCATGTATGTATTCTTTTTGGCCAGTATTTTCTTAATGTGAGCCCATAATCTGTTGACAGTTTGTTTTGCCTATTTAATACCATTCAACCACTCATTTGCCCTGAAAACTGAGGTCAATGATCAACCTTTCTTCCAAGCATGCAGAAGCCTGAATTTTTTCTAAAAATGATTTATTCTTGACAGATCCCTTAAAGAGTGCCGTGTGGATTACTAGAGCTGACAGTATTATGAACTTCTGTTTCTCGGTCCTCAAGCATAGGGAGCAGACGCACACTAAAACCTCTTACAGATGGGAACTACTGTTGTCTTGAGTCTGAACATATTTGAACTCTTGTTACTCTGGCTCTCCAGGGGGATTGCAATATCCTTTCCAGACCTGCTGGGTCAAACAGTTTAAAATAAAAGGTTGAGTTTGTTCTTGTTTGAATGGAGAGGCTGTTCCATTCCCCTTGTGGCTGAGTACAGGGACAGTCAGGAAGCTTGGAGTTGTGACTCTGCTGAGGCCAATAAAACCGCCATTTCCATTTCCAAGGGCTCATAAAGATTGAATTATTTCTCAGACCTCTGGCCCTGGAGCAGGCCTGAACATACAAATCGAAGATACTTTGCTTGCTGAGTTTCTGTGAGAAGTCTGGCCTGCTTTTTTTGTCTGTCTTGTATGCAGGTCCTTGTGTTTTTTTTTTTTTTTTTTTTTTTAAGTTGCTGCCTATTATCTCTCTTGACTTTTTCCAGCATCAGAACCCAAGCGGCCAGATCTTGATATTAGGTAAATCCTGCTAACTCCAAGGACTGATCAGGGTTTTATGGTATTCTTCTTTCTCACATCTACCCTCAAGTTTGAATAAATATGAAAACATTTTAAAGAAGGTATCAGAAGAAAATCGACAAAAACAGAAATTCTTGTAGCTGCTTTTAAGTCACTGTTATCTATTGTAGGTCTTTGTGTGGACTGGCACGAAAATGATTTTTCAAAACGAATTTTAAACGTTCCTCAGGAACTATATGAAAAAGGTTATGTGAAGGATGTGGATGATGGGCTGAAGGTAGGTTACTAACTCTGGGGCGTGATCATTTTCAATGGACCAGTTATAGTCCCAAATAGGGGGATTTGGAGCCTGGTTTATGATGTATACCCATGATAGTGTTAGGGTTGTAAGACCAGGAGATGTAGTTTATGTAATAGAATGAGGAAGTGACCTACGTTTCACAAAAACAATTTAAATTTGCTTTGAAGCAAGCCACTCACCTGGACAGAACACTTCTTAGGTGGTTAAATCATAGCTTTAAGGAGGTCCTGATTCTTTCTCCACCACCTGTGTGTGTGTGTGTGTGTTTAGGGGGGTGGTGGAATTAGGGGCAAACCACTTTTTGCCCCGCTTGAGTTCAGAACCAAGAACCCTGGCAGACAGATCAAAATGTCAGCTTTAATACGAACAGAAATGGTGATGAATATCTCTTAGCTGTGCAGCAACAGTCGGATTCGTAAAGTGAACGTCAGTTAAGCAGGCTCACTCACTGGTTACTGGCAGTGTGAGTAATCACAGAGACGGCTTTTGCCATTGGGTTTATTGTATGACTGAGAGCTGAGAAAGAACATGTGTTCTGTGTAGTGGGCTGATCTCAAAGGGGAAAAGGCTGAGCTATATACGCTCAGCTTCTCCTTCTGAACTGACAGATCAGAGTTCATTCTTTTTCCTTTGGAGAGGAGTGAGGGAGGGAGCTGATAGAGGCTGAAACTGTTCTTCTAATTATTGTCTGTCCATGTAGAAACATGCACCGAAGCAAAAAGAGATCTTTTCTTCAACATTATTTTTTCTTTTCTTCACAGTCCCCTCCAGTTATTTCTCCTTTCACTTTTTAACTAGTTGGAAGAGTCAGTTATGCCACCAGGGAGATGATCAAAGAGCTATATTTTAGAAAAGCACACTCCTCATGTTTGACTCATCTGTAATAAATTCAAGAGGAACACTGAATGTTCAACTGATTTTGCTCTGTTGCTTGCATTTCAAACCTCCTGTAACCTCCTTAAAAGGAAGAATTAATATTTCTAATTGAATTGCTGCTGTATATTCTGTTTGCTATAATTTGCAAAAGAGTAGAAACCCTTTGTAGGGTATTAACTATATTGCTTATCAGTTAAAATTCCTTTTTTTCCTGGTTATAATTATAAACGTAAAATTTTTGCCAGCCTTTTTTGGTTCATAGATTCATTTAATGACATTCTTTATTAATAGGTTCCCATAACTATAACTATTATGATAATTATAAAAGTATGGTCTTACTGTATATTATTTTTATAATCCAAGATTTCTTCTTCCTATATATAAGAATTTTCCTCATGGCAGTAAAATTTTTCTAAGATACTTTAAATGGATGACCTGTGTCTAGAACTTAGGTATGTATTTTAAAGGCCTGCCTTGTTCTTATATCATGTGGGCTATCCTGTTTTTCAGTCTTTCCCACATTTGTGCCTGCTTCTTCAATCATTTATCACCCAGTAACTGAGTTCATGCTGATTTTGCTTGTAAGCATAGAAGTTAAGAGAATTTAGAAGAAATGGGACTATGACTGAAGGATTTTCATGCCTAAAACTACTGACAAAAATTAAAATTTGAAATGGCCTTTTTCTGGTGACACATTTTTTAGATGTTTTTATAATGTAAACTGTAAAAGACTGGAATGTTTCAACAAAGGAATGACTCAGTTATTTTAACTTATGGTTAATTTTTCCCCAATCTGCTTTTTGCCTTAGCTACAATATGGATATCTTCCATATTATTACATGTAAAGGCTACCTCAGACCTTTTAATAATAGCAGAGCAGTCTAATAAATAGGTATATATTGACTTAATTGGCTCCTTACTTAATGGGTATATAATTAAATATTCAAAAAGTTTTGGGATCATCATCCTATAAAATACTGTAAATATGACAAGCACATTTAGAGCATTTGTTTAAAATTAGTTTTCTGACTATTAATGTTTTGGTATCTTATTATTTTTATCTTTTATAAAAAGTCGAGTGAGAAAAAATTTCTCGATATGTGAGAATCCTGATTTGTTGAGTCTTCTATGTTGTCAGAAGATCAGAAGCTGTGCTGAGGTGGTCAGCTTATATTAAGTGAACTGCCTGTGGTTTTTTTGTCTTTTTTAAAAATAAAAGTTATGGAACAAAGAAAATGTACACTTTGGTAAATTTATAAGAAATAAAAAAAAATTATGGGTAATGCACAAATTTTTGCATATTATAAGACATTCTAACAATACAGTAATATATACAGTAAAAAGCGAAAGTTTATATCTGCTCATCTTCCCTGTATAAATCACCAGTGGTGGATAGTCTAGACTTGTTTTTTGTACTTACATATTTAAGTGTGTGAATGTATACATAATTATATATATATATATATACATATATACACATATATATATGTATATAGTTTTACTTTGTTTTTGGCCTATATGGGATTATTTTAGATTGAACCATACAAAATTGCCAATATAGAACCATTTTTTACCTACCAAAAAATGCAGTTTCTTTTGGAACTTTTCTGGCGGTCCAGTGGTTAAGAATCTGCCTTGCAATGCAGGGGACTTCGTTTTGATCCCTGGTCAGGGATCCCTGGTCAGCGTGCCACAGAGCAGCTGACCCCACACCCCACAGCCAGAGAGTCTGTGGGCCACAGTGACAGACCCCACGGGCCACATCTGAGACCCTTGCTGCTGAATAAATGAAGAAGTATTTTTTTAAAAAAGACAAACACAGTTTCTTTTGGATCAACCCAGTACTACAAATACTATTCTGGCACTTTTTTTCACATCTAATACCATTTCTTCAGGATCTTTCTATTTTACTGTATATATTAATTAATAGACCTACCAGATGACAGCATTTTTTTAAAGGGAGAAAATGCCAGTTTTCTCCTTCTCTACTAATATCATTCTCACTTCAATTTTTCTCTTTCTTCTTGAAGGCAGCAGAGGAAGTTGGATATCCAGTAATGATCAAGGCCTCAGAAGGAGGAGGAGGGAAGGGAATCAGAAAAGTCAACAATGCAGATGATTTCCCTAACCTCTTCAGACAGGTCGAGTACAAGTTGTCATTCTTTATTTGAACTAATATATGTATCAGAGATATGTGATTTAATTCACACTATAATTTGGGTGTCTAGAAAATATTTAAACTTTTTGTCTGTAACTAATCGAATCATTCCCTTTAGCCTCTCCCTACTTAGTAGCAGGGGGAAAAAATATCAGTGAAATGTCCAATTCAATCTAAGGTTTTATTCATTTAGCTAATTCAAGCAGTAATTATTCTCTCTTATATAAAACTGCTCAGTTTCTCAGATAGCTCTTCCCTATATGATTTGTGTGGCTCATAGGCCTTCCGAGTAACAAGGAAGACTCAGTACCTTCCTATGTTTTTGTGCCCCGCTTGTGCTGACATTTTAGATAAAGTATGTGGGATGGTTAATCCCTGATCTGGATGCTCTTGGCTTGTCCTCACTCAGGCTTTCTGAAATTAAGTAATGCTGAAAATTCTCCAAGCTAGATTTCAACAGTACATAAACTAAGAACTTCCAGATGTTCAAGCTGGATTTAGAAAAGGCAGAGGAACCAGAAGTCAAATTGCCAGCATCCACTGGATCATAGAAAAAGCAAGAGAGTTCCAGAAAAACATCTACTTCTGCTTCATTGACTATACCAAAGCTTTTGACTGTGTGGATCACAACAAACTGGAAAATTCTTCAAGAGATGGGAATACCAGGCCACCTCACCTGCCTCCTCAGAATCTGTATTCAGGTCAAGAAGCAACAGTTAGAACCAGACATGGAACAACGGACTGCTTCCAAATTGGGAAAGGAATACATCAAGGCTATATATTGTCAGCTTGCTTATTTAACTTATATGCAGAGTACATCTTGTGAAATGCTGGGCTGGATGATGCACAAGCTGGAATCAAGATTTCAGGGAGAAATATCAACCTCAGATATGCAGATAACACCACCCTTATGGCAAAAAGTGAAAGGCATAAAGAGCCTCTTGAAGGTGAAAGAGTGAGTGAAAAAGCTGGCTTAAAACTCCACATTCAAAAAACTAAGATCATGGCATCTGGTCCCATCACTTTATGGCAAATAGATGGGGAAACAGTGGAAACAGTGACAGACTTTATTTTCTTGGGCTCCAAAATCACTGCAGATGGTGATTGCAGCCATGAAATTAAAAGACGCTTGCTCCTTGGAAGAAAAGCTATGACCAACCTAGACAGCATATTAAAAAGCAGAGACATTACTTTACCAACAAAGGTCTGTCTGGTCAAAGCTATGTTTTTTCCAGTAGTCATGTATGGATGTGAGATTTGAGACCATAAAGAAAGCTGAGTGCTGAAGAATTGATGCTTTTGAACTGTGGTGTTGGAGAAGACTCTTTAGAATCCCTTGGACAGCAAGAAGATCAAACCAGTCAATAGTAAAGGGAATCAGTCCTGAGTATTCATTGGAAGGATTGATGCTGAAGCTTCAATACTTTGGCCACCTATGCAAAGAACTGACTCATTAGAAAAGACCCTGATGCTAGGAAAGATTGAGGGCAGGAGGAGATGGGGGTGACAGAAGATGAGATGGTTGGATGGCATCACCGGCTTAACAGACATGAGTTTGAGTAAGCTCTGGGAGCTGGTGATGGACAGGGAAGCCTGGTGTGCTACAGTCTGTGGGGTCGCAAAGAGTTGGACAGGACTGAGCAACTGAACTGAACTGAAAATTAAGTCCATAGAGGGGTTTAATGACATCTTAGATGCAATTGAAGAAAGAATTAGTAACTGGAAGACAAGTCAGAAGAAAGCTCAGACTGAAGCATGAAGAGACAAAAAGGATGAAAAATACAGAAAAGAGCTTGTGAGAGATTATTTGCAAAGATGACCATGATAACTCTTCTCATCCCGATATACACTTCCTTTGTAGTAAGATTTCGCCTTCTTCCCGTAAAGAAATAGTGACTTTTATTCCTTCCACCCTTTGAATTTTGGTTGACTTTGTGACTTGTGTTGACCAATAGAATACAGTGGAAATAGTGGCTGGTTTCAAAACCAAAGCTGCAAGTGGTTTCTGGCCTCTGCCCTTGGCCTTTTGCAATGAGCCTCCAGGCTCGTCTTGTGCAGAGCATAGTCTAGGCTTCTGGAAAAAGAGAGGCCACAGAAAGCGGAGATGAATTGTCTCATCTGAGGCTTCCTAGACCTGACAGTTTGATCTACACCTTGGAGACATGTACATGAGTTCATATTAAACCATCCAAGCCTAGTTAAGTTGCTAGATGGCTAACTCGCTGAGTGGCTCCAAGTCAAGATCAGCAGAGGAACTGTCCAACTGAGCCCAGCTCAAATTGCTGTAAGCAAGCAAAATGGTTAGTGCCCTAAGTCACTGAAATTTTGGTGGTTTGGTAGGCATCAATGGATAGCCGACCTAGAAACTGAAACCTAATGGTGTAATGCTGCCCTGGCAAAAAAAGTAAATTATGTGGCATTTGCTTTGAGACTGGCTCATACGTGAAGGCTGGAAAAGATGGTAAGGAGCTTGGTAATGAAGCCTAGAAGAATGATAAACAAACTTTTAGTGCAGGATGGAACGGAAATGAGGGGAAAGGTCACCCATGTTCTGTAATGATGAAACAGTTACCTGGGACTGTATTGGAAAGTAGAGACTGTATTGAGCTTGTAGATCTACTTAAAGAGATCTTTTTAGATAAAGTGTTAAAAGTATCTGTTTGATGCTTATGATTTCATTTTAACTATAAAAAAGAGGTGAACTCAAAAAGGTGTTCCAAACCTGTTGAGTTTAAAAATAGAACTGTTTTTCATTACCAATCTCTCTGACTGGCAAAAAATTTTCAAAGTAAAAAATGACTTCAGAGTAGAGGCCAAATCCAGAGTGCCTGGGAGATCCTTTAAGACCTCAGAAATAATTTAAGAGCTAGGAAAAAAAGGGCTTCTAAGAATTTTAAAGATGTTGTCCCACGGCAGCCTGATATGCCCGAGGTATAGAGACGTCTGTGCAGAGAAGCTATGAATATGTTTTGGGGTAAGAAGTGAATTTTCAATATGATTCATAGGAAACTCATAAATTTTTCAAGATACTTATATTGATGAATGTACCAAAGGGACTGCAAGGGACAGAGACAGTTCAAACTTTAAAGAGGCCTCAGAACTTTCAATTTTCTATGAATAGGAAGCAGACTGGGAAAGTTGTTCAGCTGTAAGCATTAGTCGTTTCTTGTAGTAAGGGAGATTTTTCAGGACCCAGGAGGGCTGCTAAGAACAGAGGGGAGCCATGGTTTAGAAAACCACTCCCAGGGATCAGAATTGGACCACAGAGAAAAGCAAAACAAATTCCATGCCTGTGGAGTAAGGAAACCTGACAACATCTACCCATCTGGACTTCAGAACTATTGTGGACCTCCTATTGTTTCTTCTTTGAACTGGAGTATTTTCTTATCCCCATCTCATCATTAAATGTTGGAAGTGTTGGGAAAAGATAATTTGTCTTTTTAGTTCCCAGATCTTTGCAAAAATAGGAGGAGCTGCACCCAAGGAGTCTCTTTTGCTTGTGGACATGACTCATGACTCATGGAAAATGGACCTCGGGCCTGATGCCATGATTGGATGACTTTGGGGGTCTTGGGAGGGGGTGAGTCTCTTTTGCATGTGGGAGGTATGTGAATTACTGTGGCCAGAGGGCAGACCATAGTAGCTTGTTTGCAGAGATGGCTGCGATAACTCTTCCTATCCTTGTATGTATATCCCTTGGCAGTGTGACTTTGGCTTTTCTCCCATTAAGAGATGGTATCTCTTTTCCCACCCCAAAAGCAGAGATATAACTTTGCCAACAAAGGTTTGTCTAGTCAAAGCTATGGTTTTTCCAGTAGTCATGTATGGATGTGAGAGTTGGAATATAAAGAAAGCTGAGCGCTGAATAATTGATGCTTTTGAACTGTGGTGTTGGAGAGTCCCTTGGACTGCAAGGAGATCCAACCAGTCAATCCTAAAGGAAGTCAACCCTGAATATTCATTGGAAGGACTGATGCTGAAGCTGAAACTCCAATACTTTGGCCACCTGATGTGAAGAACTGACTCATTTGAGAAGACCCTAATGCTGGGAAGGATTGAAGGCAGGAGGAGAAGGGGATGACAGAGGATGAGATGGTTGGATGGTATCACCGACTCAATGGACATGAGTTTGAGTAAGCTCTGGGAGTTCGTGGTGGACAGGGAAGCCTGGCATGCTGCAGTCGTGGGGTCACAAAGAGTCGGTCACAACTGAGTGACTGAACTGAACTGAACTGAACTGAATCTTAGCTGGCCTTGTGGCTTGCTTAGACCATTAGAATGTGGCCAAAGTGGTATTGTGTAAGTTCTGGAGGCTAGTGCTTGTGAAGCCTTGCAGTTTCTGTCTTCACCAACTTCTTAGAGCGCTGCATTGAAGAAGTCCTGGTTTAGCCTACTGGAGGGCGAGAGGTCACATGCAATAGAAATGAGCTGTTCCAGTTGAGGCTCCATAGACCCACCAGCCAACAGCTGACACAAACCATCAGGCATTTGAATGAGACCATTCAGCCCTACTCAAGTCACCAGATGATGATATGCAGATTGAGTGGCCACAGGCACGACCAGACCTGCCTGGATGAGCACAGCATCAAAAGCAAAGAAAATGGTTGGTGTCCTAAGCAAGCCACTGAGTTTTGAGGTGACTTGTTATGTAACAGAACAGAGCATAAGAGATTTGGCACATAAAAGACAGTGAAATCATCTAGCATTACATACCTGGAGTCTCAGGGGAGGAGAGAGAGCAAACAGAGCAGAGGCAGTGTTTGAAGAAATCACGGAGCGGAAGCAGTATTGGAAGCATCATGATTGTCCTCAGTCATGTCTGACTCTTTGTTGACCCTTTGGGCTGTAGCCTGCCGTGCTTCTCCGGCCATGGGATTTTTCAGGCAAGAGCACTGGAATGGGTTGCTATTTCCTCCTCCAGGGGCTCTTCCCAATAGAGGGATCAAACCCATGTCTTTGGCATTGCAGGTGGATTCTTTACCTGCTGAGCCACTGGGGAAGAGACAATGGCTAAGAATATTTCTGAACTAATGAACTAATGGCTCAGAATTTCCTGAAAAGATACCAATCACAGACTCAAAAACCACGATGAGCCCTGCAAGGATAAGTACAGAGAAAACCACATCTAAGCTTATCAGAGTAAATCTGCCACCTCACTCCCCTAAAAAGAGAGAGAAAAAGAAAATCTTAAACCAGCTGCAAAAAACAGGTTACTTTCAAAGGAGTGACAGTAAGATTGTTAGCTCTCATCTCAGTAGAAATCAGAAAACATTGGGGTATCTTTAAAGTGCTAAAAGAAAATAATTGCAAGTATAGAATTCTGTATCTAGTGGCAATACGCTTCAAAACAGAAGATGAAAGTTCTTTGACTGCAACAGTACTGTATATGATGTAATGTGAACCAGGAAAGTTTTTCATCTGGAGCAAGTTGTACATTTGGCTGTTTGGAATTCATGGTAATACTTTGCCCTTTTGTGGAATATGTGTGCATGTTTTCATAATATTTTGTCCTTTGCCCTTGTAACATGTGTTTTGTATCCATCAGTTAAGAGTTATATAATTTAATTGAGAATATAGTATCTTAAGACTAGATGAGAGTATGAACTATATATACATATATTTTTTTGTTGTTGTTTTGTTTTGTTTTTTTGTATTTCTAACAGGGTCCCTGACACTCCCAGGCATTTATTTGCCTGTTGAAGTGGAAGCAGCTTATCAAAATAGAAAAGTACTTACCTCTTAAGAATTTGTTCTATTTTATTGTCTAATATAGGTTCAAGCTGAAGTTCCTGGATCTCCTATCTTTGTGATGAGACTAGCCAAACAGTCTCGTCATCTGGAGGTGCAGATCTTAGCGGATCAGTATGGCAATGCCATCTCTCTGTTTGGTCGTGATTGCTCTGTGCAGCGCAGGCATCAGAAGATTATTGAAGAAGCTCCTGCTGCTATTGCTACTCCAGCAGTATTTGAACATATGGAACAGGTATGTGTGTGAAAAGCTCTAAGTTTTGTTTTCTTGCACAGAACTAACACTCATTTAATTCATACGCCCATCTGAGAATAGTGGAATATCAGGAAATTATTCTGGATAATTGATAAGATTGTATCCTTCAAGAGGGAGAGGACATAGGTATATCTATGGCCGATTCATGTTGATGTATGACAGAAATCAACACAATATTGGAAAGAAATTATCATCCAATTAAAAATACACTGTAAAAAGTATCCTTTACCTAGAGGAAAAGTAAAAATTCTGCTTTTCTCCCTCTAGTAGAGATGCCAGTGAACACTGCCAACTCTAAATTAGTTAATGCTTTTGACAAAAAATTTCAGTGTACAATTTGAGAAGCGATAAAGAAATATTTTGGAATTTTTAGTCTTATTCTTTGGTTCTTTAACAAGCACATGATAAGCTGGTTGTTAAGCTGGTAGTTCCATTTTCTAAATTGATTATCCCTCCATCTTCAGATGGATTTATTCAAGTCTGTTATCTCTTAAAAGGTCCTCTAAGTAGCTTTCAAGTTTACATATTCTGTTTTATTGTATGAAAAAAAGAATCTCTCGGCAGTTTTATAGGGCCCCTTGGAATTAGCTGTAGTTTAGAAATCTGAACATGGTCTTTTTTGGAACTTAATCTTCTTCTTATTGGAGATACGTTTTCCATCTTTTTTTTTTCTCCTGGATTCCCAAGAAGCTAAATATATGGTTGTCTGTGCTTTTACATTTCATCTCTACGTGTGTGTGTTTATGTGTGTATTGAGATTATTCTTTAACTACTGTAGTAAAGTGACCTCCAAAATACAATGGCTTAGGGAGTTCCCTGGTGGCTTAGTAGTTAGCATCCTGGGCTTTCACTGCCGTTTCCAGGTTCAATCCCTGGTTGGCAAATAAAGATCCTGCAAGCCATTCAGTGCGGCCAAAGATAAAAAATAACTATAAAAACTACAAAATACACTTCAGTTCAGCTCACTTGTCTCCGACTCTTTGCGACCCCATGAACCACAGCCCGCCAGGCTTCCCTGTCCATCACCAACTCCTGAAGTTTACCCAAACTCATGTCCATTGAGTCGGTGATGCCATCCAACCATCTCATCCTCTGTCATCCCCTTCTCCTCCTGCCTTCAGTCTTTCCCAGTATCAGGGTCTTTTCAAATGAGTCAGCTCTTCACATCAGGTGGCCAAAGTATTGGAGTTTCAGCTTCAACATCAGTCCTACCAATGAACACCCAGGACTGATCTCCTTTAGGATTGACTGGTTGGATGTCCTTGCAGTCCAAGGGACTTCTTCAATACCACAGTTCAAGCATCAATTCTTCGACGTTAAGCTTTCTTTATAGTCCAATTCTCACATCCATACATGACTGCTGGAAAAACCATAGCCTTGACTAGATGGATCTTTGTTGTCAAAGTAATGTCTCTACTTTTTAATATGCTGTATAGGTTGGTCATAACTTTCCTTCCAAGGAGCAAGCGTCTTTTAATTTCATGGCTGCAATCACCATCTGCAGTGATTTTGGAGCCCAGAAAAATGAAGTCAGCCACTGTTTCCCATCTATTTGCCATGAAGTGATGGGACTGGATTTCATGATCTTAGTCTTCTGAATGTTGACCTTTAAGCCAGCTCTTTTTCTCTCCTCTTTCACTTTCGTCAAGAGGCTCTTTAGTTCGTCTTCGCTTTCTGCCATAAAGGTGGTGTCATCTGTGTATCTGAGGTTATTGATATTTTTCCCGGTAATCTTGATTCCAGCTTGTGCTTCTTCCAGCCCAGTGTTTCTCATGATGTACTCTGCATATAAGTTAAATAAGCAGGGTGCTAATATACAGCCTTGACGTACTCCTTTTCCTGTTTGGAACCAGTCTGTTCTTCCATGTCCAGTTCTAACTGTTGCTTCCTGACTTGCATACAGGTTTCTCAAGAGGCAGGTCAGGTGGTCTGGTATTCCCATCTCTTTAAGAATTTTTCACAGTTTATTGTGATTCAAACAGTCAAAAGTCTTTGGCATAGTCAATAAAGCAGAAATATATGTTTTTCTGGAACTCTCTTGCTTTTTCGATGATCCAGCACATGTTGGCAACTTGATCTCTGGTTCCTCTGCCTTTTTAAGTCAGTGTAAATTCTGTTTCTCTCTTTCATCATAGTTCAGAGGTGAGCTGGTCCCAGGGACCCTAGTTTATTGCTTTGCCATTTGGTGGTTTATTCACTCAGTCGTGTCCAACTCTTGCAACCCCATGGACTATAGCCCGCTAGGCTCCTCTGACCAGGGTATTTCCCAGACAAGAATACTGGAGTGTGTTGCAATTTCCTTCTCCCGGGTATCTTCCTAACCCAGGTATCAAACCCGGGTCTCCTGCATTGTAGGCATATTCTTTACTGACTAAGCCACCAGGGAAGGCCATTTCCTAGAAGAGAACAGCAAACTATAGCTAGCAGGCCAAATTCAGCCTGTCACCTGTTTTGTCGAGAAAATTTTATTGTAATACAGCTTGCTGATTTATTTATCTATTATCTATGGCTGCTTTATCTCTGCAGTGACAAAATTGAGTCGTTGTGACAGAGACTATATGGCCCACAAGGCTGAACATAGTTATTATCTGGCTTTTACTAAAAGTTTGCCAACCCTTGTTTTAAGGTGTCATCATCTTCATTATTAGAGCTGGCCTATAAGAACGTGTTCACATTGTAGCATGTTGGCAGGGGGAAGAGAGGACTTGGAAGGCAAGCTTGTATACCTGTGGCCAATTCATGCTGATGTATGGCAAAAACCATCACAGTGTTGTAAAGTAATTATTCTCCAATTAAGATAAATAAATTAATTTAAAAAAATAAGATCTAGAAGTCACACATCTTACTTCTGCTCACTTTTCACCAGATAAAATTCAGTTACACAATGACACCTAGCTGCATTGGATGTTAGGGGTTGTAATTACTAGTTGAGCAGCCTTTTGCTCAGCTGAAATTCAGAAGATTCTATTGCTAAATGGATGATGCAAAGAAAAGTTACTGGAGGGCGTTTACCTCTGTGTCTCAGTCTACTCCTCTGGCTACCCATTATCCTTTCACACCCTTTTTCTTACTCTTGGAACTTACTTAGCCTTTCCCCGTAGAAGATAGCCCAAGGTCCCATCTAGTTAACTGTGTTCAACCCAAAGTCCAGGCTCTCTGGATGGTGTGCAGTCCTCTGTTATATCTGCATGTAGCTTTTTATGGACCAGTAATCGCAAATTACCTTGTGACACCTCCTTTTGCCGTATATAGTTCGGAGTAGGAACAGGATGACTCCCATTTAGAAAAAAAAGAATGAAAAACAGACAATAATCACTAGTCCACAGCAGTTACCACGTTCTTGTAGGTAGGGATTGTGGTCATTTCCTGTCATGCGGTGGAGTAATTCCTCGGCGAGCCCTCTGACTGCCCTTGGTTCTGCTCTCTGAAAGGAACTTCTCTGCGCATCTTTAAGGCCTTGTTCTCTAGGATGTTCTTCCTTGTTCACCTCTCTCTGTGGTTGAGCTTTGGTGATCATGCCTTCTTTAGCAGAACTTTCCCAGCTCACTTCCTATTAGTGCAGGATTCGGGCCACAAAGATTACTGAGATTATCAGTCATGGGTTTGGAAAGCCAAGTTATTGGTATGTTTAGCAATATGATTCCTTCACAACTGAGTAAGTTTCTGGACTCCTTGCTTCTAGTCAGCTTCAGGTAGGAATAATCATACCCAAGGTTTCTCTGGACATAATTTTTCCTCTTTATTTACTGCCTTCTGTATTCAGCTCTTTTTCTCTCCTCCATTCAGTAAGACTACCTTGAGGCCAGCTGAAACTACAGCAGCTGCCCTTGATCTCATCTTTGATAGTGTGTTGCTTCAAGGCAAAATTCTCATCTTTGGTTTAGGGGTACAAAGCCTTTTGGTTTTTTCACAATCTGACTTTTTCTAGCCATTTTTCCTAGGGCTTAGTTGGTATTTTGTTTGCATTCCAAGTTATTTTAGGAGACAGTTTACCAAATGTGTGTGTGTTTGCCTCACTGTGTGGCTTGCAGTATCTTACTTCCCCAACCAGGGATCAGACTCATGCCCTCTGCAGTGGACATGTGGGATCTTAACCACTGTACTGCCAGGGAAGTCCCTCCAAATGTTTTCTTATGCCTCACAAGGAGCCCACCAGTTTTCCATTTTGCAGTATCTGTTTCTTTGAGAACTACTACCCTATTTTTAACTCAGTATCACATACTTTAGTTTTTTTCAACAGCAACATCCTTCCTGAATTTAATAGTTTCTGTATTGATTAGGGTACAGATTAAGCTATTGTAGTAACGAAATCTAAAAAACACAACCGCACAATAGGTTAGAAATTTATTTTTCCTTTTCATTCATAACCTGAGGTGATTAGGACCATTCTGCTCCACGAGACCATTTTGGGATTCAGGTTCTTTCTCTTTGGTTTTGTACTCTTAGTATGTTCTCACCTGCATGATGAAATAGGCTTGCACTGTCATGACCACATTCCAGTCCGTAGAAAGGAAAGAGCTGAGAATAGAGGGTAAGCAATTCCTTTTCAAAACATGAATCAGGGATTACCCTTTACTCACCCATTCTGACACTGCATTTGTTAAACCTTAGTCACTTGCTGTCAGAGTGGAAAATCTCGGCTCTATCTGGACACCCATGTTTCTAGGAAGAATACTGGAAATACTGGACAGAGGGTACAATGAAGGCTCTGCCATGGTGCTTTATTTCGCCTGCATAAGGTGGGATTACCTGTGACCCCAAGTGGAAAACACTGTTTTCACTCAGCTTTGAATTGAGTTTGGCATCCATGTGTAGGAATCTTGTGTAATAAGCAAAGAGGGTGAAATTAATTCTCATGTGGCCACAAGCCGCTGGTGGCTCTTTGAGAGGGAGAGGCTTCAGGTGAGCAGTGGGCCGTCTGCTGGCCGTGAGGCGCTTAGACTGGCTTCTCTTCCTCCTTCGAGTGCGCGGTGAAGCTTGCCAGGATGGTTGGCTATGTGAGTGCGGGGACCGTGGAATACCTCTACAGCCAGGATGGCAGCTTCTACTTTCTGGAACTGAACCCTCGGCTACAGGTGGAGCACCCCTGTACGGAGATGGTGGCCGACGTCAACCTCCCTGCCGCGCAGCTCCAGGTGAGTCACCCTGCGTTGGGCTCAGAGGGCTGCCTGGAGACGTTTGGAATGAGAGGTGCCCGCCAGACTGGCTCAGCCAGCCTGTGTGAAGAGAAAAGTGCCTCCTGTCCAAGTCCCGTGTGATGCTCCTCTCTTGCACTGGATGGCTTGGGATGTGTGGATGGGTTTTCCTGATACGGATCAGTTCTGGAGTATTACTTTTTAGCCCGACACATCTGATATAAAATGTCATATTTTTGCAAGACTCTTTACAAATAATATGCTGTACTCAGGTGTTTTAATTCTAGGAAGCCTTACTTTTTAATTGTCCTCCACTCCTTTTTCTTCCCTGGAGAAGGAAACGGCAGCCCATTCCAGTATTCATGCCTGGAAAATCCTGTGGGGCAGAGGAGCCTGGAGGGCTACAGTCCATCAGGTCATTTTTTTGAGCTTCCCCGGTGGCTTAGTGGTAAAGAATCTGCCTGCCAATGCAGGAGAGATGGGTTTGATCTCTGGTTTGGGAAGATCCCCTAGAGAAGGAAGTGGCAACCCTCTCCAGTATTCTTGCCTGGTAAATCCCATGGGGCAGAGGAGTCTGGTGGGCTACAGCCCATGGGGTCGCAAAAGAGTTGGATATGACTTAGTGACTAAATAGCAGCTCCTTTTTCCTAGTGTAATTCCACTTCAGAGTGGTGGCTGAGGTTTTTCCTGGCAAGAGTGTGTCAGTACACATTTATTTTTATAATGTTTAAAGTAGCACTGTTAATATTATTTTCTCCATTCTGCCCAGGAAACAGATGCTGTGGGAAGCAGTAATAGCTAATGATGAAGCTTGATTTGATTTGTAAATACATACTCTTTGTCCACAATGGGAACCCCTTTTGGTCCCCAGTGGTCCCTAGTAAGGAACCCAGTAAATGAAGATTTATGTATATAAATCTACCTTTTCCATTGGTTTCTGGGGATAATTTGGAGGTAATTATGGCATAGTTAGGACTTTTTAGCTGTCTGAACTTCTTGGAGAGCCACTGACATTGACTCTTCCCTTGGATATTTTCATTCTGATTAAAAATGTCACATTTTTGAAAGACATTTTACAAATACGGGTGATGGAGAAATGACGATTAGAGGGAAGCTCATGTCTATTGCATTAGGGATTTGGGGGACTCTTTAAAAAGTGGGAAGTAATTAACACCTTCTGTGTGTTTTGTTTCAAGTAATTTAGAGTTGCTTATTCAGTGATGTAGAATGTAGACAATAAAAACAAAGTGTTTTAGGTGGTGGCTACTCAAGTGAAAAGTCTTCTCCGTCATCTGATAGCCTCCATGTTTTAAGGGAAGTAACTGTGAAACATGAGTGACGTGTGTTTTATTACCTTTCAGATTGCCATGGGGATCCCTCTGTACAGAATCAAGGATATCCGTATGATGTACGGGGTCTCTCCCTGGGGCGATGCTCCCATTGATTTTGAAAATTCGGCTCACGTTCCTTGCCCAAGGGGCCATGTTATTGCTGCTCGTATCACTAGTGAAAATCCAGATGAGGTAACACATCACTTAAAAGGTTTACACTTTTTTTTCCCCCACTGTGAACTTTTAATATTAAGATGCTATCTGAGGGCATATCTAAAGTACCTTGGGACCTCCCCTGGAGAGGGAAATTTATAGAGGCTTCATGGGAGCAGACAAGTAAGTGATCACTGTTGCCCTGGCCATTGAGTCCTGCCTGTGTCACCGCCGAGTCCTCAGTGGGTCTGTAGCGCTGGACACTGGCCCGCAAGCCTGAATGGTTTTCCTGTGCCATTTCCACTCATGTGTCTGTGTGGTTACATAGAACCCGACCAGTGAGTATATGAACGTTCTCTTTCTTGTAAATATAACATCATCTCATATTCTTCACTCCCTAACAGGGTTTTAAGCCCAGCTCAGGAACAGTTCAAGAGCTGAATTTTCGCAGCAATAAGAACGTTTGGGGTTATTTCAGTGTTGCTGCTGCAGGCGGGCTTCATGAATTTGCTGATTCTCAGTTTGGTCACTGCTTTTCCTGGGGAGAAAACCGAGAGGAAGCAATTTCGTGAGTATAATAGCATGTGGTTGCATTTCAAAAAATAAACTTGTGGTAATCTTCAGTGAAGTGTGAGCATGGGAAAGGGAATCATGTATTGCTATAGAAGCACTAATGTGGATAATCTTCTTGAAGAAATATATCTTAAATTGTAGTTGCATTAATGTTGTATTAAATTTATGCAGTGTTTGGCAGATGTTTTTCAGTCTGTTACTCTGAGCCTTTTCAAATAATTTTTTGTTTTCATGTGTTTTTGATCAACTTATAAAATTGATTACTCTAAAGATGTCATATTTTTCTATAGAAATAGTATTGTTATTTGGGGCAGAAGGAGATTTTTGACTAAGACCTTGGCATCTTATATCATGGATAAGGTCCATTATTTGTCATCAAAATAAAGGTATAGCTATAAATGTCCTGTAGTCATTTAAAATAATAAAGTTAAGCTGCTTGTTACATGAAAAGGGCTTAAGGGAACTGTCCACATCACTTTATATGAGGGACCTCAATGTGCTATGAAATATATGCACAACTTACAATATAGCTAGTATATTATAGGTATTAGTTAATATTCTATTGAGTGTAAACATTTAATATTTAATTTAATATTAAGTTTTGCTTGCCTGAAAAGTAGGGCCCTAATAGGTGATTTTGACAGGTTAGATATTTTAGAATGTCTATCCAAAATTGGTTTACCTGTTTTATATTTTTTAATTGTCGATTGACTTTCACCAAGGGTTTAATACTATTCCTTTGACTTTTAACCTGTATACCCAGATTATGTAATCAGTAAACACTTATTAATAATGTTGGTTTTTAATAATGTTTTCAGAAGTTGGGAAATCTCAGTTTTTCTGTATTTTGTACTCTACAAAGCAGTGCTCCCACAAAAACCATCTGGTATACAGTTGCTTTTTGCATCCTGCTTTGCCAAAGTGAAGAAAATAAACCTAATGTTTTGAATAAACTAGAATATAAACCTAATGTTATGAAGAAACTAGAGCTTGCAAACCAGTGGTTTTCTGGCTAGTCACAGCCACTGATGTGTTTTGATTGACTTATAGAGTATTATTTAAAAAGTGGGAGATTGAAATAAATATATGCATTTATGCTGTCTCTTGAAAAAAATGGGGTGACAGTAACATTGGTTTTATATTCCACTTGGCCAAAGTTAACTGAGGCTTTGTGTGACTGCTTCTCTTAGAGGAAACACGAACTCTCTAGTTCACACAGTCCCCCGTCCAGCCTGCCTCATTCGTTTACATCCCCAGAGTGGCTGCTATTGATATTTAGGTTTCCATTCTTGATTGGCAGGCCACCAAGCCTTCTCTCCGGGACACGTCTTATGACTTGCTCCAGAAGTCTTGCTCCTTACTTCCCAGCCTGCTCTGGACATCTATATGCAGTGTAAAGCTGCCAGGCCAACGTTGAGCATATGAAAATTACAGTCTCTGCAATAAGCATGCTTTCTTTTTTTAATATTTTATTTATTTATTTGGCTGTATTGGGTCTTAGTTGTGGCACTTGGGGTCTTTATTGTGGCACAGGACTCTCTAGTTGGGGCACGTGAGCTCCAGAGCACACAGGCTGAGTTGCCCTGCAGCATGTGGGATCTTAGTTCCCGGGCCAGGAATCGAACCCATGGCCCTTGCATTGCAAGGTGGATTCTTACCCACTGAACCAGCAGGGACGTCCCGAAGCATGCTCTTGACCCTGTGCCAGAGTTCATTCTTCAGCTCAGAGTTTGTTTCTTCTTTCTTCATGACATTAGGCTTATATTCTTCAGCTTGGTGTTCACTGCTCTTCTCTAGACTAGTTCCAGCCCATGTTTCCCTTATTATTTCCAATGGACTATAATCTAAATACCACGAGAACAGAACTGTGTGTGTCTTGTTGCTGAGGTGTCCCCTGAATGTAGTAAGTGTTCCGTCGATGCTGAATGAGTGGACTTGCCCCTCATCCTTGTCCTCATAACTGTCTGCTTCAGCTGTAACATTCCCTGGACACAACCCCTGTTTATTTCCTTTTTCCCTTTGTTTCTGCTGTTCCCTCTCTCCATTCGTTCATTTACTCCATTCAACAAATACTTACTGAATATTTTAATGGTTTCTTGCAATATAATGAGGACCACCATAGGGTCTGTGCCATCATGGAACTTGATGATCCAGGGTAAGAGAGGCAAGTAAGCTATTGAACAGAATGTAGGAGGTGCTGTCTCTGATAGTGAGATTACGTGAGGGTGTTACAGGAGTGTAGAGCTGAGTCAGCTACGTCCATCCAGAATGGGTCAGGGAAGGTTTCCCAAAAGGAAGGGACGTCTAGATGCATATCTGAAATGTGTAGAGGAGTAAGCCAGGCCAAGATAGGACATAGGAGGATGGAGAGGAGGATGGAGGTGGGAAACAGAGTAATGTTCTAGGCTGAGAACTCCTGGGCCACCTGGAAGAATATTTCTGTCACAGTCATAATCTTAGCTTTACTTTTATTCCATTTCAGATCCCATGTTCTTTTTTTCCTTAACTGAGGAGTAGATGATTGACAGTGTTGTCTTAGCTTCAGGTGCACAGCAAAGTGATTCCGTTTTTTATATATATTTTTTCAGATCATTTTCCATATAGGTGATTATAAGATGTTGACTGTAATTCCCTGTGCTATGCAATGGATCAACATTGCTTGTCTGTTTTAGGTGTAGTAGTTTGTATCTATTAATCTCACGCCCCTAATTTACCCCTCCCCATTCCCGTTCCCCTTGGGTAACCATAAGTTTGCTTTCTATGTCAGATCTTAACATTCTTTATGAAACCAAGGGGAGGCGGGACTTCTCCCTTCCTAGAACCCCTTGGCGCTTTGCTTTTATCTCTCTACTGGTATTTATGATATTCTGCCATAAATGTTTAAAGTGATTACTGTCTCCTTTAAGAGCTTAGTATGTGTCTTGAGTGTGGGATGCATAATAAATGTCAAAGTAAGGACCTGCCCTGTTCAGGATAATACAGAGCAGAAATATACTGGGAAAAAGCTCACAGTGTTGAAATCTTGTTAAAATGTGGTTATTTAACACTTAATTGGGAAGTAAGCAAAGTAATGAGCAAGTCCTTCTACAGTTGGCTAAAACACAGCTTAAAAAAAAGAAACACTCTTACGTGCAGTGTCAGGCTGAAACCCAACTTTCTCTTTCCTGGTTACCTTCATTGTATGGAAACCTTTAAGTTAAGGTCTTAGTGTTTGTAAAAATTCATTGAACAGTGTACTTAAAATAAGTACATTTTATTATATGTAAATCTTATTTAGATAAAATAAAAAGGGCTTAAGAAGGGGATAATTATGCCCTAATTCTAGTTAACCATCAATCAATGAATGGAATGATGGAAACAGTGAAAACAAAGGGTGGTTTGCACATAATTTGTTCTGTGTTCTGTATAACGAAGTGTCTGTGATCTGCTGATGCTCAGATGGTCAGATTAGTCAGACTCACAAGTTTGCTGACTTCTTGAAAATTCTGTCTGGAATGAGCACTTGTGTATCTGCACCCTCATTTGTTCTTGGGACTGTGTGTTTCTCTCCCCTCCCTCCTAAGACTCCAAAGAGATGAAATAGTTCTTGAAAATAGTTGAAAAACAGTAAAACATTTGTTGCTGAAAGAGATCTGCTTCTGTCCTTCTCCCAGAAACATGGTGGTGGCTTTGAAGGAGCTATCTATCCGGGGTGACTTTCGAACCACAGTCGAATACCTGATCAAATTGTTGGAGACTGAAAGCTTTCAGTTGAACAGAATTGACACCGGCTGGCTGGACAGACTGATAGCAGAAAAAGTACAGGTGGGTATTTCTCCACTTACACAAGCAGCTTCTGGGATTGGGTTTTTATAGGCTTGTGATGAGATCAGTCCATGCCTTTAGGCAAAATATATTTGATTATAATACAAATGGTTCTAGGTCTGTGTGGAAAAGTCTAGGAGTCAGTCAGTGTGATTTTAAAATTGTAAGTAAGCGTTCTTGTGCCTTGTTGTGCAGTCATTGTATAAGTTGTTGTATTACTTCCAAGGATATAGTTGAAGAGAGGCGTGCAGCGATTGAAGTATTTTCTTTCTTCATTTGATATTAAATGTGGTTGAGTTCTGTCTGTCTACCAAGTACTGATGAGAGGGCTTCATTTTAGTCGACAGAGGTTACGCTTTGTTCCTGAACTGCTGGGCTAATATAAACTACTCAAGATTTTGTATAAAATTGTTGGATTCACGTGTATTACCTGGAGGTAGTTTACACACCATTTTTCTTTGAGATTATCAGTAGCCAAATCTGCACTTCTTTTGAATTTATTTGTGACAGAAGCTTGTTTTTGAGCTTCTCTTCGATTGACTCAGTGAAAATCCTAGGAGGGTGGGGGGAAAGGTGGTTTTCATCTCTATTCAAATTCTAAAAATGTATTTTTGTCTCAAAAATCAGTTGGATAATGAGGATGGAGATTCTCAGTGGTCGCTGATTCTTCAAGCACATTTGAGCCTGATTTAAATTGAGGGGCCATGGTGCCAAGTGACTGAGTTTGCTTTTGATTTGCCTTCTTTTCATCCCTTTCAGGCGGAGCGACCTGACACCATGCTGGGAGTTGTCTGTGGGGCTCTCCACGTGGCAGACGTGAGCCTGCGGAATAGCATCTCCAACTTCCTTCACTCCTTAGAGAGGTAGGCTTGGCATTCCAAGTTCTGTGTAGGCTCAGTCGCGGTCCTGAGCAGGGGCCTGATGTTCAGAGACCCATTTATTCTCTCTGTTGCTGGCAGCTTGTGAGTGCTACTTGTTCACTGACTGTGGGGGCAGGGAGGAGAAGGGATGTAGGAGTTCATGGCAAATGGTTTGGGGGCTCTAAGAGTAGATTCTAGAAATTGGTTTATACCATGGTTAGAATTGGTTGCTTTGTAAACACTGAAATCTTTCTATACAAGCATCCAATCTCTGAGCCCTGGTGATAAAAATCTGGTGTTTTTCTCTAGTAAGGCACCCTGGATACTTCATATATTACCTGCAACACCTTTCAGGAATTAATAATTGAGGCTGATATTCATGATGACCTCACGAGTCTTTCAAGTATAGGATCAGACTTGTGTGGCTAAACTTATTTTCAGCACTGGTTCTGGAAACTAAGTTCTGCCTCCGAGTCCCTGGAGGAATTGTCCACAAGGCTAATCGTTTACAGCACTTTATCACAGGCATTTAAATTCAACTGAGATTTCATTTATTCAAGTCTTACTATGAAGATCTCTCACTGTGTTATACTGACGCTCAGTATAAACAAGTGATATATTCACATGGTTCAAAATTCAAAAGGCAGTAAAAAAATATATAGTGATGAGTCTCCTCCTTACCTCTCTTTCCTGACCACCTAGTTTCCTTCCCTATAATCAGCCTATGTTTCTGTTTTTGTTTTCTGTTATCTTTCAGCTATATGGCAGATACATATAAGCATATATACGTAATATTTGTTCCTTCCTACCTCCATTTTTTTTTAATCACAAGTGATAGTGTACTATGAAACTATCCTGTACAATTTCACTTGCTTTTTTTTATTTAACAGTGTGTTTTAGAGAGTGTTTCATATTAGTGCATAAAGTACTTTATCTTTTTAATGGCTGCATAATATTCATTTATGTGGCCTTTTCAAAATTTATGTCTCTGTCCCTTACTGGTGGTCCTTTAGCTTGTTTTCAGTCTTGATATTCCAGGAAATGCTATAACCAATCACCTTTGAGAGCCCTTGTAAGCTTTTAGAACTTTCTAGAAGTAGCTCCCGCTTTGCTGTCTTTCAGGGGCCAAGTCCTCTCTGCACATACACTTCTGAATACAGTAGACGTCGAACTCATCTACGAGGGAGTCAAGTACGTACTGAAGGTATGCTGAACCTCAGAAGGTCTGTGCTATCTTTTTTGCCTCTGTCTTTGTCAGCTTGCTTCCTTTAGGTCAGGTGATGGAGGGGAAATTTGGTTTATTGCAGGGCTGGGCATGAGTGAAATTACAGTCATTATTAGTGTCAGTAGCCTGTGTCAAAGCAGTATTTGATGAGTCTCTGAAAATATTTTCGCTGTTGTTCAACTTCACATGTGCAACCAAGAAATGAAGGAGACAGAGACCCGTCAGAGCAGGGAGATGTATCTAAGGTCCCCCTCGTAGCTCGAGGCAGGGCTGAGCTGTGCCCACAGCACTAGTGCTCAGATGCCAGAGCCATGAAAATAGAGCATGGTGCTCTTTCCTCTCCAGTAGAGCTTCCCTTAACTATTTTTATTTATTTATTTATTTTATTTGGCTGCTTCGGGTTTTAGTTGGAGCGTGCAGGATCTTTAACTGAGTCATGAAAGCTCTTGGTTGTGGCATATGGGATCTAATTCCCTGACCAGGGATTGAGCCTGGCCCTCCCGCACTGGGAGCTTGGAGTCTCAGCCACTGGACCACCAGGGAAGTCCCATCTGATGGAGCTTGCGCACCTCGATCTCTGAGATACTGAAATTTTGTCTGGCACTCTCCCTGGAAGAAACACACTGACTTGTCTCTTTGGTTTCTCATTTCTTACAGGTGACTCGACAGTCCCCGAACTCTTACGTGGTGATCATGAACGGCTCTTGTGTGGAAGTAGATGTGCATCGGCTGAGCGACGGTGGACTGCTCCTGTCCTATGACGGCAGCAGTTATACCACATACATGAAGGAGGAGGTGGATAGGTGAGTGGCTCTTTGGGCTCTGTTTGCTGGTCATTGTACCAACCTTTTCTCTCGGTAGGGCGTGTTTAACTCTTGGGGTTTGTCAAGGTCTTTTTGGGGAGTCTATTCTAATTTTTTAAAAAATAGAACATGTACCTAATAAAAATTTCAAGAGTAGTAGAAGTCTTTAAAATTAAAAATAATGTCTCTCCACGACTGTAGTGTGGGCAGATAATGAAAAATAAATTCCCTTTTTTATAGGCTACTACTGTTAACAGTTTCTTATATGTCTTTACTGAAATTTTGTATGTATATATAAGTTATATATATGTACATACTGTTTTTCTTTTAAACATACTCACAAATAAAAGTACCCTTTAGTTTTGCACCTTAGTTTTTCCTTTAACATATTGTACACGATTCAACACCAGTCTTTATGGTGTTGTGATAATTAAATGAATTAATACATGGAAAGGGTATAGACCATTGCTTGGAACTTAGAGTTTGAAACATCTTAGCTATTACGTCATGAGCACCTTCATATTTTTTTTCTTCCTGCTCAATGGAGATGTCTGTCCTTTTTAATGGTCAGATAATCTTCCATTATATGGATGTACCATAATTAATTTAATTTGACCAATATTGAAGGGAATTTTGGTTATTTGGCATTGTAAACAAAGATGCAATAAATGTCCTGTGTGTATGTGTACAATGAAGTTTTCAGGTTTTTTTTTTTTTTTTTAAAACAAAGATTTTAATGCATATAAAAACAAAATGACAGCACAGTTTAGTGTCTTCAGAAGTGATGGGTTCCTGGGTTGCTAATCCGGAATACGTACACTTTCGTGCCTTTGTCTCCATCAGCAGTTCTGACTTCAAGCAGCAGAATAGAAGCCTAGAAAATTATCTCTTTACCATTAGTAACACTTTGGAAAGATATTTATATTCAAAACATTACGTGTTGCAAGCTGTTAAAATCCTGACTACAAGTAACTATGACTAGATAAGTTCTTCATACAATGTTCTAAGACAGTTACAGTTTAGAAAATCTGACTTTTAAAAATATACCTCTAATCTTATTCTGATGTCATGTTACTAAAAAGGGCTTCATGGGCTTTCCATGTTTTGTTGACCCAGAAACATATTTTTATCTTCTTAGAAAGTATAAATAACAACTGGAAACATATTACTTGAAATATATTACTTCTACCAGTTATTATGATGCATATAGAAAAAAAGTGGTGTACAAAGAGATGTGTTAGTCTCTTGGTTAAAGTTTCAGTATTTGCTTTTCAAACTTCGAAATATCTTAAAGAAGCCCAAACAAAACAATACAAGATTCACAGAGGCACACGATGTTTTAGAAATGTGATAATTAGCTATAGAAGTAGTATAGCATCATAATTTAGGAAAATATAATAAAATTCTAAAACATTTCCTATGCTGAAGATCATGCCCAATTGATAGTGTCATTCTTTCTGACACTAGCTCTGATAAGACTTCCTTTGGAATACTTTTTCACCATAATCTAGAGAGGATGTGTTGAACTGCACCCTTAAGAATGCAGACAGGACTGGCATATAGCAGTACTGCATCTGCAAAAGGATCAAGACGCTCAGGGGAAATTATCATGGTCCGCCTGTGCTTTTTGTATTCATCTTCCCGATCTGCAATCTTCGGAGGTCGGTGCTCAGCAAATGGATCATAGTGCTCTGTTGACTGTGGTATATCGTCAAGCAATGCCACAGGGGCATGACACCCTGGCTTCTTCTGACCAAGCAAACTTGTGGATGATGAGTAGTCATCGTCATCATCTCCAAGTTCAGTTGCAGCAATTGATGCCACGTATCCAGCAAACCTGCTGTCACTTCCACCGCAAATTTCCTGGTCATAATAACCCGTAGAATCAAGGCCCACTCCTTGAGCTTCATCAAGAGCTGCCTTCTTGCCTTGAATTTCCCGGATCTGTGCTTCAATATCTTCGTGAGTCTTGGCGATCTTCGCCATTTTGTCCACTCGAACACACAGACTCAGGTTTTTTTAAGATTGACATCATTCTACCTTTATTCTTTACAACTTAAGATGCTTTATTAACTTAGATAACTCCCACTTATCTCCTAGATATCGCATCACAATTGGCAATAAAACTTGTGTGTTTGAGAAAGAAAACGACCCTTCGGTGCTGCGCTCACCCTCTGCTGGGAAGTTAATCCAGTACATTGTGGAGGATGGAGGCCATGTGTTTGCTGGCCAGTGCTATGCCGAGATCGAGGTCAGGGTGGTTGTTGGGCTTCCGGGTCATGGGAGGGAAGGTGGGAAAAGAGTTGGCTGGGATGGACTGGGACTCAAAGAGTAACAGAAAGGAAGTAAAAAATAGAAAGGAAAGTGTATCTGTTTGATTGGGGTTATGAACCTTAGCATTTTATTTATTTAAAAAATATTTTCTTGGCCGTGCCTTATGGCATGTGGCGTCTTAGTTCCCCGACCAGAGATGGAACCCACGCCCCTTGCGTTAGAAGCACACAGGCTTAACCACTGGACTGCCAGGGAAGTCCATGAACCTTAGGATTTTAAAAGCACATTAAAAGCTCATAGTTTTCCTTGGATAGATGAGGAACCTCTAGCTCTAAAGAATAGATCCTAGGCAGCGGCACTTATTGATTGTTGGGTATTATGCCAAGTACTGGTTATACAGAAAGAATATGATAGGTGGAATGGGGCCTTGAAACAGACTTGTAATGAAATACGAATTTTCAGAAGGCTGCACAAAGTGCAGAGGGCCACCTGCCCCAAGTCAGTATAGGGCTGGATGGGCAGTGAGAGAAGAATTCCTGAAAGAGGGGACTTTGATCTTGGCATTGGAAGATAGACAGTGATAGACCAGATGAGGCAGGCCAGGCAACGCTGTTTAAAGGTGAAGGCACAGTACATACAAACGCACAGAAGCGAGAGCGTGAGGTGTATAGAGGGAAGTACAGGTCCATATTGACATTGCTTGAGAACAGACTAAGGTTTAATGGGAAATGGCAAGCAGAGATGCTAAATGAGCCGTCAGAATTTGAGATCAGGTTAAAAAACCTTATAAAACATACTAAGAAATTTAGGCTCTCAAGACCAGTCAAATCACTGAAGGATATGACACAGAAAAGTGATGGAATGAGATTTGGGCTCTAGAATGATTGCTTCTAGTGGCCTTATTGGAGGTGCATAACATGTAAAGATGTCTATGGGGAGGTTGTTTTTTTTTCCTTAATTTTTAAAAAAATTTATTTGACTGCACCAAGTCTTCGTCGCGACACACACACACTCTTAGCTGTGGCATGTGGGATCTGCTTCCCTGACCTGGCCCAAACCTGGGCTCCCTGTATGGGAAGTGCAGAGTCCTCGCCCCTGGACCACCAGGGAAGCCCCTGTTGGGAGATTTCTGAATTCCTCTAGATCAGAAATGATAAGGGCCTAAACCAAAGAGTTGGCAAGACAGGAAGATTTTTGAGAGAGGTTTAGACAATGCATTCGACCTGGCTTGGTAACTGGCAGATAAGGGAGATAAAGGAGTGAGAATGATCCTTAGGTTTTGGTCTGGGTATCATAGATAGAGTAAGTACCTGGATCCACAAGTGTGAGGAAGATAAATTGTTCATCATTTCTCAGTATAAGACAAGTCAAAACCAACTATGGCAAAAATGGATTTAAACATTAGAAATGGGAACTATCGGTAGTTGTCATTAATCCCTAAAGCTAGGTCCTGAGAGATTTTAGTTTTCCTTGTAGGTGATGAAGATGGTAATGACCTTAACAGCCGCAGAGTCTGGCTGTATCCATTATGTCAAGCGGCCTGGAGCAGCTCTTGACCCGGGCTGTGTAATAGCCAAAATGCAACTGGACAACCCCAGCAAGGTCCAGCAGGTAAATAGGTGGATAGACACTTTTAATACTGCTCTCCAAGAGCTGGCTACACGGTAGGGGTGGTCTGGAGAGGCAAGTGATCTCAATCCTTGGTTTTCCAGTTTTTCCTTCAGCTTTTCACGCCTCATTTTATGCCTTATGCCTTTGTATTTGTGCCTTTGGTATCATGCATCTAAGAGTTACTATGATATTCCGAATCTGCTTTTTCTCATGACGTTTCTCACATTGACTTCTCTCCTTGTCACTGGGTGTGGTAAAGGGAAGTCTTTCTTTTTTTAACTAATTGCTGTGAGCATTGGGTCTGAGTTGCGGCCTGCGGGCTCTTTGTTTCTGTGTGAGGGTCTCTCTAGCTGTAGCACACAGGCTCAGCAGTTGTTTTGCACAGGCTTAGTTGCCCCGCCACTTGTGGGATCTTAATTCTGCCTGGGTGGCTGATTGTTAACCACTGGACCACCAGGGAAGTCCCTAAAGGGAAGTCTTGATTTTACATGATGAATCTAAGTTGCAGTGGTGTGTCTGAAGGTAGTGGATGACTTGATCTCTCATTGGGGTTGACAGGCTGAGCTTCACACAGGCAGTCTGCCACGGATCCAAAGCACAGCGCTCAGAGGCGAGAAGCTCCATCGAGTGTTCCACTATGTCCTGGATAATCTGGTCAACGTGATGAACGGATACTGCCTTCCAGATCCTTTCTTTAGCAGCAGGGTATGAGTCACTTTTCGTAGGTGGGGTGGGGTAGGGGAACAGGTGTATATCTTGGAGAATGGGTGCTCTCCAGCATAGTTTAAAATTCATACAGGGAATTTCTTTAAGAGGGAGGGAGGAAGAGAAAGCTGTTTGACCAAAATTCTGCCACTATTAGTTGTAGGATTTGAAGTCTTTATATCCTTGCTTCTTATCTCTGTCATTGACTTCACATTTAATTGGGATTTAAACCAGTGAACAATGACAATGTTAGTTGTTTATATTATAATTTCAAAGTAAGTACCGGCATACCTTGGGGATACTGCAGGTTTGGTTCCAGACCACTGCAATAAAGCGAATATTATAAGAAAGAAAATCACATGAATTTTTTGCTTTCCCAGTGCATAGAAAAGTTATGTTTACATATTGATAAAGAACCTGCTTGCCAATACAGGAGACATGAGATGTGGGTTCGATCCCTGGGTTGGAACGATTCCCTGGGGGAGGAAATGGCAACCCACTCCAGTATTCTTGCTTGGAGAATCCCATGGACAGAGGAACCTGGTAGGCTACAGTCCATGGGTCGCAAAGAGTTGGATACGACTGAAGTGACTTAGCAGGCACGTAGTCTATTAAGTGTGTAATAGCATTACATCTAAAAAATGTACATATCTAAATTTAAAAATGTTTTCTTGCTAAAAAAGGCAAATCATCTCCTGAGCCTTTAAGGAGTGGTAATGGTTTTGCTGGTGGAGGGTTTGAAATACTACAAGAATTACCAAAATGTGACACAGAGACATGAAGTGAGCAAAGCTGTTGGAAAAATGGTGCCAATAGACTTGCTCGACACAGGGTTTTACATGAAATCTTCAGTTTGTTAAAAAAAAAAAAAACTACAATATTTGCAACATACACTAAAGCAGTGCACAATAAAGCGTGGTATGCCTGTACTATGTGGTAGTAAATTCAGACATATAATTTTGTTTGGGGGATTATGTTAATTTTGTCCAGATCCTGTTTTATTATTTCCTTCTTCTCAGGTGAAAGACTGGGTTGAACGGTTGATGAAGACCCTCAGAGACCCCTCCTTACCTCTCCTAGAATTGCAGGATATCATGACCAGCGTCTCTGGTCGTATCCCGCCCAATGTGGAGAAGTCTATCAAGAAGGAAATGGCTCAGTATGCCAGCAACATCACATCCGTCCTCTGTCAGTTTCCCAGCCAGCAGGTACTTACAGACTAACGCTGTCGTTGTCTGCTGGATGCCCACACTAGAGTTCTTGCAGGAGGAGTCCTTCCTATTTGGATCCTCCTCACTGTCTGGGTGTTGTACTTCTGAAGTTTTAAGCATTGTGCCCTGTACAAAACTGCCTCATGATGCAAGCCCAGTAAGTTAAGTGTTGGGTGTAAAATGTAAGGTATCTGTGGTTAAGAGAAAAGCATATTGGTTGTGTACCCCATAGAGTTCTGTCCCTGGGGCTGCACCCTGATTAGAAGTATTTTTGTGATTCTAAAGCAGGCGGATATTTGTAGCTCTTTCATCAGAGACTTCCTCACTACCTCTATAGCATGCTTATTACTCTTTGCCTCTGATCCAGACTTACATGTAGGGGTAAAGCTGGACAAGTGGGGCATTAAGCGTGTCTTGCCTGTCAGGACCTCTGGTAAGGACGCTAGTTTTTGTGATGCACTCGTTAGTTCATCTGGCAAAGGGGGAAAAGAAATAGAAGTTGCTTTCTTATTTATCATGAATGAACCCCTAAACTATGCCTAGTAGCATTCAGCTGCGCTCAACATGCGAAAGATAGAAATTATCACGTTCCAATGACAATAATTCCAGTGGAGACACAGACGGAGGGAGCTGACACGTGGGCATGGTGGGGGGGCAGGGGCGGGCCGTGTGAGTTGGGAGAGCAGTAGCGTGTACACACTACCGTGTGGGAAGTAGGTAGCTGGTGGGAAGCTGCTGCACATCGCAGGGAGCCCAGCTCAGCGCTCTGTGATGACCTGTTAGACAGCAGAATGGGGTCAGGGGTGGGAGGGATGCTCAAGAGGGCGGGGGTGTATGTTTACCTGTAGCCGATTCACTTTGTTGTACAGTAAAAATTAACACAACATTGCAGCAGTTATACTCCAATTGAAAAAAAACAACAGGATTCCTAGTGTTGACGCTATTATGCAGGCTAATGTTTTGGGTCCCTCTGTTGAGTCGGGCTTCATTTTTCTCCTTTCTTATACTTTAGATTGCCAACATCCTAGATAGCCATGCAGCCACACTGAACCGGAAATCTGAACGGGAAGTCTTCTTCATGAACACTCAGAGCATCGTCCAGCTGGTGCAGAGGTAGGTTCATGGAACTCCAGCGTCCCAGACCTGCCCGTCCCCGCACCTTCCTTCCTTCTCAGTAATGACAAAGAGGTTTACCTTTATTTCACCTTAGAGAACTTAGAAAGCACCTCGTATCTTAGAAAATACCTATGTCTACTAAATATCTTAGAATCATGAGCTAACTCTCCTACTTAGCGTTTCTGATGACTTCTTTCTATTTGGCATCTTTCCATCAATTATTAAGTCATGAATCTCACTGTTTTCTTTTTTCCTTACAATTTCCTTTGAAATTTTTCTTCTGGCATAGGGCCCTCTTTGACATTAACTCTTATTAGCTCATGGGATCAAATATTGGGCTAAAGGTATCTTCACAGGACTTTTTCAACTTTAAGATATTCATAAAATTTTCAGATTTCCCTTAGCCATTTCAAGGGTGTGGTGATCATTTCTGCTTAGCAATGGGGGACTGAATCAGCATGGTGTTGGGTAGGGCTATCAAGTGGTTTTGGTCTTGTTTTCTCTCTCTTTTTTTTCTCCATTTCTTTATAAGGAAAAGTCTTGTCTGTGGCCACATTTCTTTTAGACTTGGATTTATGTTACTTATTTATTATTTTTGGTGGTGCTGTGCCGTCATCACTATGCACAGACTCTCTCTAACTGTCGTGAGCAGGGGCTTCTCTCTAGCTGCGGCCAACACCAGCTTCTTACAGCGGTGGATTCTCCTGCGGAGCTTGGGCTCTTGGGCGTGTGGGCCTCAGTGGTTGCCGCACGCGGCCTCAGTAGTTGTGGCGCACAAGCTTAGCTGCCCCATTACACATGGGTTCCTCCCAGAGCAGGGATCGAACCTGCGTCACCTGCAGTGGCAGACAGATTCTCAGCCGTGGGACCACCAGGGAAGCCGGCTTGAGTTTAAATTAACCTGGTTAATTGATTCTAGACTGGCTCCTGTTCTATCCTATATACACAGGGAAAGCCGTTCTATAGGAAGCCTAGTAAGTCTGGGCCTTGGGTTTATTATTTCATGGTTGGTTATTTAACGGTGTTAGCCTGTCAGGATTTTCTTCTAGACTTGAATTTATGTTTGTTTTTTTTTAAATTTATGTTATTTATTTATACCTTCCTCTATTTGCCTAGGTACCGCAGTGGCATCCGAGGACACATGAAGGCTGTGGTGATGGACCTGCTGCGGCAGTACCTGCGAGTAGAGACACAGTTCCAGAACGGTAAGCTCCTTCCCGGGGCTCTGTACCCGAGACCGTCTCCTTCCCGGGGCTCTGTACCCGAGACCGTCCCCTTCCCGGGGCTCTGTACCCGAGACCGTCCCCTTCCCGGGGCTCTGTACCCGAGACCGTCCCCTTCCCGGGGCTCTGTACCCGAGACCGTCCCCTTCCCGGGGCTCTGTACCCGAGACCGTCCCCTTCCCGGGGCTCTGTACCCGAGACCGTCCCCTTCCCGGGGCTCTGTACCCGAGAACGTCTCCCTCCCGGGGCTCTGTACCCGAGACCGTCCCCCTCCCGGGGCTCTGTACCCGAGACCGTCCCCTTCCCGGGGCTCTGTACCCGAGACCGTCCCCTTCCCGGGGCTCTGTACCCGAGACCGTCCCCCTCCCGGGGCTCTGTACCCGAGACCGTCCCCCTCCCGGGGCTCTGTACCCGAGACCGTCCCCCTCCCGGGGCTCTGTACCCGAGACCGTCCCCTTCCCGGGGCTCTGTACCCGAGACCGTCCCCTTCCCGGGGCTCTGTACCCGAGACCGTCCCCTTCCCGGGGCTCTGTACCCGAGACCGTCCCCTTCCCGGGGCTCTGTACCCGAGACCGTCCCCTTCCCGGGGCTCTGTACCCGAGACCGTCCCCTTCCCGGGGCTCTGTACCCGAGAACGTCTCCTTCCCGGGGCTCTGTACCCGAGAACGTCTCCTTCCCGGGCTGAGCGACAGCTGAGCCAGTCCATCCTGTCATCAACACTTGACATGGACAGCCCTCTTCCTCCTTTCACCAGTCTGTTAAAAACTAAGCTACTCTGTCCCACTAGCACCAAAGAAAGAACAACAAAACACAACTTGATGAGACTGTAAATCAGTGTGCTTCTGTGAGAGGGCTGAGATAATTTCTCTAGTAGAGATTAGCATTCCCCATTGGCCTCCTCTTGACCTTGTATAGTGAGGGTTACTTGAGTCAGACCAGGCTGAAATTGAGAAAGCCTATCTGAAGAGCTTGCCTCTCAGCACCTCATCCATGGAATGAACCGCAGGCATCTGAAAACGAATCCGATTTTCCAGTGCTTTTCAGTGTATCGTTTAGGTGGAATTTATCCATCACTTTCTCTATAGTCACTAAATGACTGCTAAGTCTCAAACACCATGGCTAAGATTTTAAAGCTACATACTGTGGACACTGCTTTCTGCCACAAGATGGCAGTGAAACACCACAGGATTTGAAAGATTGCCTCTTGATGCTCTTTGCTCTGTTTTGCTCACTTTTCCATCCTTAAAGGATGACTCTGCCACTCATGACAAGCAGAAATACTCAAGTAAATATTGCAAACTGAATCTGGCAGTGTGTAAAATAATCCGTCATAACCCAGTTGTCTTTATCCCACTAGTGTAAGCTTGATTAATATGTGAATCATTTATCATGTAATGCATAAAAAGAGGAAAAAAAATGGCCATCATTTTAAGATATGGATGATAAAAGCATTTGACAAAATTGACTATCCATTCATGATAAGTACTTGACCAACTGAGAATGAAATGGTACTCTTTATCATGTAAAGTTCTCCTACAAAAAATCTATAGGATACATCATACATAGTGGTAACATGTTGAAAGCAATCTCTTTAAGATTAAGACAAGAATGCCTGCTATCATTCTGCTCTTCAGTATCATACTGGATATCCCAGCTGCTTTTGTAAGGCAAGAAAAAGATCCAAAAATAAGAGGAGTGGAGTAAAGGTTTGGATAGGAGTGCGGAAATACATCAGCCACTATTACATATGACAGAGGTCTACCCGGAAAGCCTCAAAGTATCCACATGTTTATTATTAGAATTATTTAAAATCTAGCAAAGTTGCTGGATACAAAAGTCAGTATATAGGGCTTCCCTGGTAGGTCGGTGGTAAAGAATCTGCCTGCCAACGTGGGAAACAAGGTTCAATCCCTGGTCTGGAAAGATCCCATGTGCCACAGAGTAACGAAGCCCATGTGCCATAACCACTTAGCCCACCCGTGGCAACTCCTGAAGCCCACCCACCCTAGAGCCCGTGCTCTCCACCAGAGAAGCCACCACAGTGAAAAGCCTACGCACCACAGCTAGGGTAGCACCTGCTCTCTGCAGCTAGAGAAAAAAGGCTTGAGCCACAGCAAAGACCCAGCACAGCCAAAATAAATTAATTAAATAAATTTTAAAAGTCAATATACAGAATTAAAATTTTATGGTATAATAACTGTTTAGAAAAATATTCCATTTGAAATAGCAACCCAAAATATGAAATTCTGAGGAATAAGTCTAACAAAAAAATGTGCAACCTTTTTTGGAGAGAGTTGTAATCAGTAGAAATAATAAAGAAGATCTAGATAAATATCATGGCCTTGGATTGGAATATATATATTTGCAAAGTGTTAATTCTCCCTGAGTTCATCCGTAGATTCATTGACTTTCCAATAAAAATCTTACTAGTGTATTTCTATGGAATTTGTCAGGCTAGTTCTATAATTCACATGAAAGAAAGGTAACCAAGATTCTTTTAAAGAAATACACTGTGGAGGTATTTGTCCAGTTAAATATCAAGATTTGAGATAAAACCATATTAATGAAGAGATTGTGATATTGGTGTTAGGACAGATTAATAGAACAATGGAACATTGGCTCTCTTAGCCCAGAGGCAGATATATGAAAAATTACTTTACAACAGGGCAGGTGTTGTAAGTCATGGGAAAGGATAGTTGCTACTGGGTAATGGATTATTCATTTGCCACCGCCCCCCCAGCCCCCAAAAAAGATTCCTAGCCTAGACAAGATGCCCCCAAATCGATTCCAGATTAATTTAAAACTTAAACACATGCTAAAGGGGCAAAGCTACTCAGTTTTTAGGAGAATATTGTTATGACCTCAAGACCAAGAAGATTTTGTCACGTACAGCCGGAAGGAACAAACTATAAAGGAGAAGGATAAATAGTTTGACCTCACTTAAGAGACTGAACTGAACTGAAGAACTTCTGTTCATGAAATGATCCCATAAAAAGACTTTGAAAATACAAGCCATAAAGTGGAAGAAGATATTTATAAATCATAACAACTGAGAAAGGATTAGAATCTACAGAGCACTGCCTGAGTCAATAAGTAAAAGACAACCTAATAGAAAAATAGGCAAAAGATAAAAAAAAGATAATTTGCAGAAGAGGAGGCACAAATGATCACACCCAAATGATCAATGAAAAGATGTTAGATCTTTTACTAATTAGATAGCTATGAACCAAAACCACAAGATTGGCAAAAATTTATAAAATTCACATCATCTTCCACCACTTCTGTAAGTAAAAGTGCAAATTGTTACAACCACTTTGGAAAACAGTTCATCAGTACATAATGGAGTTGAACTTATTTATATTCTTCAACCTACCAATTTCACTCTTAGATGACATGCTTTAGAGAAACTGTTACACATGTTTATTAAGGAGACACATACAGGACTGTTGGTGGCAAAAAAGACTGGAAACAACCCAAATATACACAAGTTGAATAGACAATTGAATTCTAGTATATTCCTACAATGGATTAGTCTACAGCAGTGAAAATGGAACAAAGATGAATCTCCAAAACATAATGGTGAGGGAAATAAACAAGTTACAGAAGGATCCAAACACAGTGATTCCATTGTTATCAAGTTGAAAACAGGTAAAGTGAATATATACATACATGGATACATATACACACACACACACATTTGTGATAAATGTAAAGAAGAGCAAAAGAAGGATTAACATAAAATTCAGTTTAGTGGTTATCTTTGAGGAGGAGCACATAGAACCTTCAAAGATACTAAAAATGTTCTGTTAGATGGTAGTTACTTGGGTGTTTATTCTTCTGAATGTATATTTCACAATTAAAAGTTTTTCTAAAAGAGGCATTTGGTATCATTGCTTTCTTTGTGCTTAGTGTCTCCCCTGCCTCTCCCCTGGGTAAATGTTCTTCATATTTCCCCTGGCCCTAGTAATTTCCATTACCAAGATACATTTCTGTTGTCACTTTAAGTCTTAGGAGAAATATGAATTTATATAGGATAACCAACAGCTTCCATTTTGTCCCAATTGGATCTTTAATGAAATTGACAGCTCTCTAAATATTGAAGTTCACTGTTTTTCAAATACATTTAGTTTGATTTTGAAAAAAATCTTATGTCAGTCACTAATATTTAAAACAGATAAGGGACTTCCCTTGTGGTCCAGCAGTTAAGGCTTTGCTTTTCAATGCAGAGCGTGTGGGTTTGATCCCCGGTTGGGGAGCTAAGATTCCACATACCTCTGGTCCAAAAAACCCAAAACATTAAATGGAAGCAATATTGTAACAAATCCAATAAAGACTTTAAAAATGGTCCACATCATAATAATCTTTAAAAAAAAACAACAACAGATAAAAGCAGAGTTGCCTTGATTGATTGTACTTAATGTTCTGGGAATCCATGGCAGTGCAGTTTGAATGCCACTGTTCCTGTTTGTAACTTAACATGCAGTCTGAACTAAGTGATAATCCTTTAGTATTTCCATGATTTCATAAAAATTCTGACCCTTGAGACTATTCAGATAGATGCTCATTCTCCTTTATTTGTAAATTTAATTCTGAGGTAAGCTGTTTTCTAAAGAACTGAATATTACTTAGATCCCATGTTAGAAGTCACTACGGTATACCTGAGGCTTATGCTTCTGTTACAAAACATAGCTTTGCAAGTGAGAACTAACCTGCCCCTGGTGGCCTTGTGAAAGGCCAATGAAAATAATGCATAACTGTACTCTCCCTACAGACCTTTTATCTTCATGCAGGGTTCTCTCTGATCTATGCCTTAGTTTGGATTTGGAATTCCTAGGCATTGCTTAACTACTCTGTGGAAAATGTTGATTCCAGAGGAAGCAGCCATCCTTCTTGTGGATACTGATAAGTTTGGGTGTTTTAGTTTTGAACTAAAACCATGCCTTCTAGTTGGGGTGAAACAGTTTCAGTGAGTCAAACATGGAACCAGAATCTCTAGCTGGGGTTTAATGGTGCTGACATTTCTTTTTAAGTAGCCGAACCCTCTCTTCTAAAACCATGTTGCTCAGGTCGTGCGCTCAGTCTTGTCCAACTCTTTGCAGCCCCATGGATGTAGCCCACCGGGGTCCTGTGTCCAGGGAATTCTCCAGGCAAGAATACTGAAGTGGGTAGCCATTTCCTACTCTGGAGGATCTTCCCAACCCAGGGATCAAACCAATGTCTCTTGAGGATTGGCAGGCGGATTCTTTACCACTCGTGCCACCTGGGAAGCCCCAGGAAATCATTGCAGGAAGCTAAATAAGAGAGTTTAGAGTAAGGCTTGGGGCGTGGAATCTCGGGCCCTAAGACACACCCTTCCCATCTGTCACATTTTTTAAATGAAGATAAGACTTAGAGAGGTAAAGTGATTTGCCCAGGAGCCCATCACAATTTGATAACAGAGCTAAGCTTTGAGCCCAGGGCTTTTATACCAGATTACCTGACTCCTAGCCCAGAGTTGTTCTTAATAAACCACACTGCCAATTCTATAGAAATCTGTCTAAGAAAATTCTCAAGATGTTTCTTTTCACTGCTTATTAATTTTCTAAATAGCATGTAAATGTGAATGTGCGTACATGGGTGGTGACTACTTCTTTTTGCTGCTTGTAGGTCACTATGACAAATGTGTGTTCACCCTCCGGGAGGAGAACAAAAGTGATATGAATACTGTACTGAACTACATCTTCTCTCATGCTCAAGTCACCAAGAAGAATCTGCTGGTCACCATGCTTATCGTGAGTACCATTTTTCAGAACCTGTAAGGATGGTTCACGATATGAAAAAAAGTGTTTCTCCCTGTGATGGCTATGGTCAGAGGAACAGCTCCTGTCTTATGTGATTCTGGGATGAGTGGGGCTTGGGTTGTGGGTTAATAGTTTCTCACGCCTGTCTTCGTCCTTGACCTGAAGGAACCTGCTCCAGTTGGTAAAGAATTGTTCTGCCAGTTATTCATATCATTTTTTAACATTAATTTATTTTTTAATTGAAGGATAATCACTTTATAGAATTTTGTTGTTTTCTGTCAAACCTCAACATAAATCAGCCATAGGTGTATATATGTATCCCCTCCCTTTTGAACCTCCCTCCTGTCTCCCTCCCCACCCCAACCTTCTAGGTTGATAGCGTCCCTATTTGAGTTTCCTGAGACACACAGCAAATTCCGTTGGCTATCTATTTTACATATGGTATTGTAAGTTTCCATGTTACTCTTTGCACACATTTCACCCTCTCCTCTGCTCTCCCTATGTCTACAAGCCTATTCTCTATGTCTGTTTTTCCACTGCTGCCTTGTAAATAAATTCTTCAGTACTGTTTTTCTAGATTCTGTATATATGCGTTAGAATATGATATTTTTCTTTCTGACTTACTTCACTCTGTATAAAAGGCTCTAGGTTCATCCACCTCATTAGAACTGATTCAAATGCATTCCTTTTTATGGCTGAGTAATATTACATTGTGTATATGTACCACAACTTTATTCATTCATCTGTCGATGGACATCTAGGTTGCTTCCACGTTCTAGCTATTGTACATAGTGCTGCAATGAACAGTGGCATACATGTGTCTTTTTCAGTTTTGGTTTCCTCAGGGGATATGCCTAGGAGTGGGATTGCTGGGTCATATGGTGGTTTTATTCCTAGTTTTGTAAGGAATCTCCATACCGTCTTCCATAGTGGCTGTATCAATTTACATTCCCACTAATGGTGCAAGAACGTTCCCTTTTCTTTATCCCCTCCAGCACTTACTGTTTGTCGACTTTTTGATGATGGCCATTCTGACTGATGTGAGGTGATATCTCATTGTAGTTTTGATTTGCATTTCTCTAATAATGAGTGATGTTGAGCATCTTTTCATGTGTTTGTTAGCTTCCTGTATCTCTTCTTTGAAGAAGTATCTGTTTAGGTCTTCTTCCCACTTTTTGATTGGGTTGTTTGTTTTTCTCGTATTGAGTTTTATGAGCTGCTTGTATATTTTGGAAATTAATCCTTTGTCAGTTGTTTCATTTGCTATTATTTTCTCCCATTCTGAGGGTTGTCTTTTCACCTTGCTTATAGTTTCCTTTGCTGTGCAAAAGCTTTTAAGTTTAATTAGGTCCCACTTGTTTACTTTTGTTTTTATTTCCGTTACTCTAGAAGGCGGGTCATAGAGAATCTGCTTTGATTTATGTCATCGGGTGTTCTGCCTATGTTTTCGTCTAAGAGTTTTATAGTTTCTGATCTTACATTTAGGTCTTTAATCCATTTCGAGTTTATCTTTGTGTGTGATGTTAAGAAATGTTCTAGTTTCATTCTTTTACATGTAGCTGTCCAGTTTTCCCAGCACCATTTACTGGAGAGGCTTATTCATATCATCTTAAGAACTCAAAGCCCTTGACTCTACTTAAAGTTGCCTCATGTTTCCCCCTTCCTGTTGTCGCTCATGACAGGAGCTTTAAAATGGGTTCTTATCTAGCCAGTATTGTTGTTTAGCTGCTAAGTCATGTCTGACCCTTTTGTGACCTCAGGGATTGTAGCCCACCAGGCTCTTCTGTCCATGGGATTTCCCAGGCAAGAATACTAGAGTGGATTGTCATTTCCTTCTCCAGGGGATCTTCCCAACTCTGGGATTAAACCTGTGTCTTCTCCATTGGAAGGAGGATTCTATACCACTGAGCCACCGAGGGAAGCCCTATCTAGCCAGTGTACTGTCCCATTATAACTTTTGTTTGTTCTATGAATGTCAGCAATGGCTCTCATGTCCAAAACTTAATAACAAAAAACAACTGTTAGAAGTCTCGTACTGTTCCTCCCTGACTCAAGAAACACTTAAGTTTCTTCCTCATCTTCTTTGATCCCCCTTTCTGTCTTATTTATATGGATGTCTAAGCTCAGATTATTGTATTGGTAGTAGATACATGCTTTTGTCTCCATAACTCAATAATTTGAGAATTAGTAGAAAGAGGCAATGAGAAGTGAGACTAGTAAACATGAGTGGGACTGATGTACATTTAACCAGTGGGTAGAATTTTTGTTGGCTTAAGGATTTTTAAAGATGATTTGTAACTTCTCCACTCGCCAGTTTTTCTGGCTCATTCTAGGAATCAGAGGACAATAGGACTAGTCTTCAAAACCTCCCCCCACCAGTCCCATTCCATGAACAATTTCCCACTCCATGAACAATTAATTGCCTTGCTGCTACATATTTGTGTTTTGGGGAGACTATTACCTTTTTGCTCCTGTGGTTTTCTTTCTTGCCTTTTTGTGGGATTGGCATTCTTGGAACCTTAATTCCATCCTTTCTTCTTGGAGGAAAAACAACTATACATCTTCTGCTATATTTTATTTCATGGTTCAGAGTGAGAGGAAACTATCTACTTCACATCTCTGGTTAACAACAGTGCCACTCTCTCAGTTATCTGCCTAGGTGGCTAACTCTGGAGGATATAACATTTTTTAAGAAATAGCCACTTTAAAAAATATGTAATCATAGGGAGAGTTCATTACCTTTGCTACCCTAGAATGGCTAGACGGTGGGGAAACCAGCAGATGCATTTGAAAGGAAAAAAAAATATCAGCACAATGTAATATTTCAACTTCTCCAAGTGATAGGTTTCAGCAAAGAAGATATTACCTTTGGCAACCTGCTGATTTTCTTTCTCTCAGTTGGAAGAAGGAAGAAACCTCTGACTAATTAGATTTTTTCTTAAATTTTAATAAAAAGGATTGCTAATTCTCCTTTGGTTAAAGCCAAGACTTTTCTGGCAGGAAAAGGCAATGATGAGGATGTGGAAGAATCTGTCAGTTTGGACCTAAAAATGGGATAGAATTTGCCCTGTTAGGAAGCTAATTATAGTGAGTTTTCATATTATTATGATTACCTTTTTAAGGACTTAACAGTTTTTCTGCACTAAAAATAGACCAAAGCCCAGAAACCTTGGAGCAGCAGAAGAGTAATGATTGTCCAAGACTGTCGCTGGGTTTCTTAAATTCTAATTTGTAAGATATAGGGGCTCGGCTCGCTCCTTTTGCGGAGTGATTGTAAGTAACGCTTGCCTTAAGAATCTCATTATTGGAACACGGAGCCATATTTCCTCAGAGAATTCTGGAGTAGCTTTGAGCCGGGGCTGTTCATTTCTCAAGTAATCACGCTGGTGTGATGGAGAGAGAAAATGGCAGCTGTTCGGAGCTCAGGCCTTCAATTTTCTTCAGAGTCCAGTCACTCAAGTGTGTAATTACACGGGGGGTGCTGCAGAGGCGTTGGGCCCTGTCAGAGAGCTGGTTTGAGGCTGTGCTTTCTGCTTTTGCCAGTCAGGACAGGCAGAAGCCAATGGGACTCTGGCTTGCTGCTAGTTCTTTTTTCCCCCCACCTTGTCATCCTGATTACTTCTTGCCTGCGTGGATGGTACCCAAACTTTCTTTCCAACAGAGAAAAGAGTCGTTTGTTTAGTGTTTTGGTTTTGATGAATAGGAAGGAGAGGAGGAGGAGGGGGAGGGGGGTGGAGAGGGAGACGGGGAGGAGGGAGAGGGCAGGGGAGGGGGAAGGAGGAGGAAGGTTGACGACGTGAACCAGAAAGATGGATTCTTCCTTTTCTTTCTTTTGGCATTTCACATTTGTCTTTAAAAAAAAAACAACAAAAGAAAACTTGGTAAACATCTGTAGGCTTTATATCATTAAATTGCTTTTGAAATATCAGTTATTTTGACCTCATCCCAGAGATTTGGAAAACAAGAAGTTAATTGCTGTCACTGAGCTGAGGATCGGCTAGCAGTGACTTGGGGAGCAGGGACGAAGGCTGGAACAGGGCTGCTTTCCAATCTGCCTTCTTTGGGGGGGGTCCGGTCCCCCACCCCACATCTGCATTAGTGGAGGGGGTGGCTGGTAAAAGCCATTTCAACTGTTGGGATTACTCTCTCTGACGGCTATCACCTGGCTATGGCAGCGTTCCCTTCCCCCAGCTTGCAGTCTCTGCTGGATCCCCTTTCTTTGCTTATCTTGGCTTCCTGATCGATGGTTATATGCCCAGCCTTCCCATCTTTGCTTTCTAGAAGTAGGGCTGTCGATGGTGTGCTTTGCTGAACTAGATGATGATGTCTGGGCCTTCTGAACCTAGAGGGTGGGAATCAAGAAGATCAAGCTTCTGAGAATCAGTGTTGCAGAATGTGTGCTGCTCCGAGGAAGCCTTCCTTCCCTGCCTTCCAGGTGGTGGCATCACTTGCCTCGTCTCACTAGCAAATTTCGTCCAATCTTTCGCTGTATCTGGAGAGCAAAATGTCAAGTAAAATGCTAAAGTCTTGTCCAGTTTTCTCCATGTGGAGGAACGTTGTGCTACATTGAAAACAAAGGAAGTTTATTTTTTGAAAGCTCTTATTTCTTAATTTTATAGGAAAACGCTTAGGACATTGTTTATGTTTGCTCAGAGATGTTTGAGGGACTCTTTAACCAAATTTTGTGCTGATGAAAAGTATCAACCTCTTCACAGCTCTAGACGTACGACTCTGTGTCTTGTACCCACCTTGATTCTGAGTAGTCTTCCCTCACTACTTCTGTCTTATTTCTGGTGTGGTCCACATGAATGTTTTATGGCCCATGCTTTGCTCGGAGTAGTGGCATGCCTATGAGCCTCTGATTTGGTTTAGACTGTGCTGTGCTTAATCGCTCAGTCATATCTGACTCTTGGCGACCCCAAAGACTACAGCCCGCCAGGCTCCTCTGTCCACAGGGATTCTCCAGGTAAGAATACTGGAGTGGGTTTCCA